TACCTAGGTGTTGATGTGCGACACCCTGTACCTAGGTGTTGATGTGCGACACCCTGTACCTAGGTGTTGATGTGAGACACCCTGTACCTAGGTGTTGATGTGGGACACCCTGTACCTAGGTGATTGATGTGAGACACCCTGTACCTAGGTGTTGATGTTCGAAACCCTGCAAATCTGTGAAAGCTCGGTTTTTTACCAAGTTGGGTGTTTTCATCATAAAACACACGGTTACGCCCAGGGGCGTAAAGAAGGAATTTCAAGGGGGGGGGTAAATAATAGTTTTTAAAGCTCCCCCCCCCCCTATCTGTATAAATGGGCAACATTTCCGCGAAGACAAACAAATTACTTCAAAGCAAACGAAACAGTTCGTAAATCGTAAACGATGATATTGTTCAGAAAAATTAAGGAACAAATAACCATCAAATTAAATCGATTGTTCAGAGTTGTAATAAACCGATTATTTTTTTTTTCAAAACCAACAAGAAAAACTAAAATAAATAAAAAAATCGTTCACAATTGTTCGCTTTTCAGTGATCAGTTCTCCAAAGATTTCTAAATCTATTGTTTAAAAGAATTTAAAAACTTTTACTTGTAACTAACAACTTTTTGAAACAAACTTTTTCAAAAAAGCTATTGTTTTTTTACTGAATGAACGATTTTATTGAACAAACAATTTTTACTGAATGAATGATATTTTACTGAACGAACGGTCTCATTGAACAAACAATCTAATTAAATGATCGTTTAGTTGGAAAACGAACAAAATAGATGGAGAATGAACGAAAATTATGAAAACAAATCAAATCAAATTTTCAAATTAAATGAATGAAATAAACGAAATGGGTCATTAATGAACGATAAACTGATGAATTGAAAAAAGCCTAACTCGCCCATCACTAACCTCATCACATCCAGCAGAAAAAAAGCATTGTGCATAAAATCTTTTGAAACTCTCTACACAGAAGAACACAATCTATTGATTTTCTTGTTATTTATATTAAAAAAGACCTGAAATAATTACATTGTTTATTTCAATAAACTGTTGTAAATGAACCTAAAAGCAAACAAAGGAACTACTACATAATATGAAAAAAGTTGAACGAACATAAATAAAATTTCTGGCATTTGTTGGTTCAATAATCTTATAAAATCATTTTCATCGGCTCTCTCCAGATCAAAATCATCAGGAAGATATGCTCCAAATGGAATAACCTTAGAATGATGGCTTCCATAGTTTCTCAGCTTTGCAATAAGTCCTAAAAGATAAGTGATGAATAAAAGAGGCAACTATCAAATTTGGTGATCATAATGGTCCAAACCATAAAAGTGTAAAATTTATCCCTTGACCAAAACCAGTGGCATTATATTTATAATGTTGCTACATTTTTATGTTTAATTTAATCTAGGTTCATCTATGAAATTGCAAGAACTCGTTGAACTACATAGAGATGGTTCAACCCCATATTTTTTATGGCTGCACTGGTTCAAATTGTATTTTTAAATGTTGATCTACCCTATTTACCAAGGGCTGAGTTATATTTAAGCCAATAGATTGATAAACTCGATATATGCGGCACTCTGATTGGTTGGAATTCGACCGATTTCCATGCATCAGCTGCCATCACATTAGGGTTGTAATGATTAAAACCTTGAACTTTGAATCGGTGAATAAGGATTTGAGTCAGTGAGCACTTGAGAAGTAGTTGAACCGTAGTCTGTAGTTCAGTTACCTCTCTACAAAACTATTACCTGCTTGAGGACCAATGGGAGCCGTTTTATGCAGAATATCTCCCCTGAAATTTTAATTACAAAATTTCGCGAAATATATTGATATTAATTGTAATTATAGATAAAATTGATACTTCTGAAAATGTTTCAGTAACAAATTAGAAAATCCATTATATTGACATTTGAAAATTAACACTATGGTTTTTTTTTCAAAAAACAACAGTTACAGTTAAAGTAACATTTACATCTAAAATTACAACAAACAACAGTTACAGTAAAAGTAACATTTACATCTAAAATTACAACAAACAACAGTTACAGTAAAAGTAACATTTTTATCTAAAATTACAATAAACAACAGTTACAGTTAAAGTAACATTTACATCTAAAATTACAATAAACATCAGTTAAAGTTAAAGTAACATTTACATCTAAAATTACAATAAACATCAGTTACAGTTAAAGTAACATTGACATCTAAAATTACAAAATAATAATCGAAACACATCAGATGCATAGTGACAAATTTACCTGAAAGTGGTTGGGGCATTTTTTACTTGCTCTTCTGCTTCAGCTAACAAGGACTTAACTAAAAATCATGTTGGGGTCGGATGGCGTTCAGATAAAAAACAATGAAGTTTTCGCAAATTATTGCAAAATGAACATTAAAAAGTTATGATAAAAGAATTTTTTGAATTTGTAATCCTAAACTATAACACGAACTTTTGGTGTTAAATGCCAAAATAAATTTAAAGGATCAAAAAGGGGCTTAACATATTTCATATAAGAAATGGAAGATTTTCAAATCAACTGAAAAATCTGAAACAAAAAAAGTATTATTAAAATGTTTAATCTAATTAAATATTTTAAAAATGATTGAAAATGTGTTATGTTGTCTAATTGCTAACATACCTAGGTCAGGATGTTGAAAAGCCAGGTTATTTAGTTCTTGGGGATCTTCCTCCAAATTATAAAGTCCAATTGTTGGGTATTCAATACTGTGCTGATTTCTCCAGTAATCTTGCAAAATAAATCTATCAAGAAAACAACACTTAAATTTGACAATGTTAGAAGAAACTGTAATTCAAAGTTTTATCTTTGAAATTTGAAAATATAGAGCATTACATGTAGTGCTGGGTAGAGTTCATTTAAATCGTTAATGAAACGGATTAGCCATTGCTGAAAAAAATTAACGGTTGAAAACGAAAACAATACAGATGTGTTTAATAAATGACAACTTTTTTTGTTTGTTTGTTAAAATTGCATGAAACTTGCAAAAATTTGGAAATTTTAAAGACTTTTTTAAAAATTTGTTTGTAAATCCAATTTAACAAACCGTTAGCACCCTTAAATCTGTAAACAATCGTTAACAATCGATTTGACAAACCGTTAATGCCGTTAATTGAAAATTCTTCCGTTAACGCTGTTAATAAGATTGAGATCGTTAACTAACTGTAACTTTTAAAAAAATGGTTAATACTGGTAACAAAACGAACATTTCGTTCTTACCTTTAAACTAACGGCTACCTGAAAAAAATGTTAACGGTTGGTACTAACGAAACGGCTATAAAAAGTTAGAACATGATAGCAAATGACTGTAAATGACTTAGAAATTTCTTCTCCTGTTGCTGTGTGGTTTATATTGCAATTAATGATAAAAGTATAAAAATATTGACCATGGTATGTAAATCTCTATAAAGGTATTTTTATGCATAACATTTTCGTAGAAATTATCATTTTTTCTTTTTTTTTGGGGGGGGGAGGGGTTAAATTACCAAAACAAAATAAGTAATGCCCTACTAAAAGAGAACCCGTTCACATTTTTGAATTTTTAATAAGTTTAAATTACCTAAATCTGTTTTGTAAGGTTTCTCCATCAAATTTGTGTCAGAGCGTGTGTTTCTTATTGATGAGAGTCCACCAACATTAGGGGAATCTAATTTAGTTTCATAAAATATAACAAAAATATTTTAATGTAAATTAGACTTGAAAACTTTATCAGCATTCCCAAATAAACATCTGAAATAATTTATGCTTTTTGTCTCTTCTAAAAATGGTCTATCACAAAGTTTTTTAAAAAGTTGTATACATTTTTCTCTGTAAAAGGAATTGAGTTTTTGTCACAAACTCAAATTTTCTGATCCCTATATCTATGCAACCTTATGGTATACCTCTGAAATTTCAAAGATTATTTTATTCAACAGAATTCATAGTTTGAAATATCAAAGGTTGCAAATATATAAGGATTAGAAAATCAGAGTTTGTGGCAAAGTCTCAAATTCTTTTATTGATAATTTATCTTTCCTCAAGTGTCTTTTGTAAAGTAAAGATTTTTGTAGCTCGGTAAAGTTTAGAAAATATTTAAAAACCACATGGAAGAAAGATGTTTCCCATATTTATTGTTTGATATTTATCTAATTTATCATTTTATCCAAATAGATTCTAGTACAATAGATGGCAAAGTAGAATTTGTATACTCTCAGTACAGTTGTATTCTGTCGTCACAAGTGTCAACTCAGCCTTTGTGTCCGACAAAATTATTAATAATAGTGATAATTTTAGAATAAAGTGCTTATCTTACAATAAAATAAATGCAATTTTATGTAATCTTCATTTTCTGTATTTACACTTTTTATTTAATCTTGGAAAACATGTCAACTAATGTGAGAAAATTGTGTTTTCCATGTTATATTTGACACTTGTGACGTCGTGTATAATTGTTCAATTTCTCTGTTGCCTCCTATTGTGATAATCTATTTGATTTTATCCATCTATTTATTTAATTTTTATGATTTCCTATGAAGACCCAGAGAATGTATTGAATAAAGATTGTATTTTGGGTTGGTGTAATGAAGTCCATGGCTTTAATGATAATATCTGAAACAGCAGAATTAATATTTTATATTTCTTGATTTTTAAAAAAGCTGATAATGATATACCTCTTAATTTATCTCTCCAATTTCCATTTTCAACCAACCAACCTTAATATAATTATACAGTGAATCCCAGATATATGAATACATGACCTTCATTAAATTTTTTGATAATTCTAAAGAAACTTTTTTTATTTTTAATTCAATGTAAATTAATAGCCCTGAAATATGAATACAGTTGATATATTAATATTGAACTCATTTTTCCGCGGCATTTGATCTTAAAATCTGTATTACGACATTATAAAAAACTCTTGCTTTGTATTCATATATCTGGGATTCACTGTAGGTTTCTATGCTCTAAAATGAATGAAAGGGACTGTAAGTGTAATTTCAAGTGACCCTCCATGCAAAGATGACAATGCTCAATTCGCAACGGTACCCTCGAAAGTTTTGTCTGATCAACTGTGACTCATCAATGTGTATAACTAGAAAACCCACAATATCTTCCATATTATGGAACAGATTAAGGTTTCAAGGGTATTGTCGTGAATCAGGCTTTCCCATCTTTGCATGGAGGTTCGATCTCGAAATTACACTTACAGTCCCTTTAATTTAAATGTTTGTGGAGTTGAAACTGAACCATGATGCAACTATGAATCAATGAATAATATTTTTTGATATATTTATAATTTAGGATTTTTTAACCTGTTGTAGTCTCATTGTACACCCGATCAAAGATAAGTGGTAGATAGTGATGTCCCACAATTATTTTCCATGGTCCTTTTCTTAAAATATAAATAATCTAGAACTTCAAGAGCTAGCCCTTTTTTCGTAATTGTAAAACTTATTCTTCAGCGTATATTTTGGTGCATTTGGAAAATTAATAATTGTGAACATATTTTTAACTTTGTCCAGCAGTTTTGAAGGTTATTAGATACAAATAATCAAACAAACAAACAAATAAACATAAATTATAAAAAAATTCAATTTTGAAAAATCGGAAGTGAAGTTACCTGAAAGCATGACTGTCTCTATCAATATCTCTATGAATATGAACAGATTCCCGGACTCCATTTTTCTCTTTTTTCACTAAAATTTTTTTTTTTTACTTATTACTTTATGGATCTGATTGACAGTATTTAGCAAGCGGTAAACAACTCTGGACTTTATTGAGCTTGTTGGAATGTTCGCCATCAATCACAGAAGTTAAACAAATTTGGATTCATGAGTTTACCTAAAGATTGAAGCTGGTTTATGCCATCCAGTTCCACACCTTTTTCTACCTTCTATAGATCAACCAAAAAATAGATTAATCATGATTGTTAATAGTAAAAAATTAAATTTTTTCATGGTTTTCTCTTTGATTTAGAAAATTTGACGGATGCTTTTATTAAATTATTCAAGTTGATTCCTTTGTAGAATTGATCATAGCCAAGAAGGTTGGAAAGAAGTCAGTCACGTGGAAGAGACCCTGATAATAAAACAAAGTCAGTTTTTCCATACAGAGGTCTAATGAAGTAACAATATGAGCTGTTTAAAAGTCTTCTTGTAACCTTAGATGTGTTCTTAATTCGAACATTTGAATTAATATTTTATTTTCCCAAAGTAAAGAAACCTTTTAAACATCTGTAAAGTGGTAATGATTTTCAAAACTATGTGAAAAAATTCAAATGATAAAATTGAGCATTTAGAAGCAATTTTTACCTGAAAATCATATCCTTCTCCCAGTTGTTTAGGAGCATAAATAAATCCTGGAGCTCTTACTCCACCCTCCCACATTGTAGATTTGCCACCTCTTAAAATAAAATAAAAAATCTAAATTAATCAAATAATGTTTTTTCTTTTCTAAAGTAAAATTATTTCTAAATTCCTAAGGTAAACATTTTCTAAATATCTATAGCAAAAATGTTCTTAATCAATTTATAAATGTTTCTTCTCTGTCTGTTTGTATCATTTGTATCCAATAAACGTCGAAATGGCTGAATCAATTGGCCCCAAATTTGTGTAGCAATTTTTGTTTGGAATTTATTTATAATTTTTGAAAATCACGTATTTAATCCGAAAATCCGCAAAAGTTTGTGTTTTCTGAAAACTGCGTTTTAAAAAGTAAGAAGTTAAGATTGTTACTGGAAGTGTCCTATAAACCACTCTTTTCAGATTTATTCAGGGTAAATTCAAAATATTTATTTATACTTGAGTGGATAATTTAGAGCGCCTGCATAAGGAACACCTCCGTTGTCTGTAGAAAATGCTATGATTGTGTTATCAAGCTCACCACTCTCTCTGATAAGACATTTCTCATTAACTATTATTAGGTTTTGCAAGAATAAATTAGTTGTTGTAAAAATAACAAAAAATATATGATTAACCCTATCCGTATTGGGCTATTTTTGTCAATATAGATTGTGGGGCGGGGGGGGGTCATGATTTTCCCCTTAGAGTTGAGAAAGAGGAATATGATACATGTGAATGTCCCTAGTCCAACTTTTTCAGGCCAGCTTATTTTAAAATCAAACCCCTGCTTTATTGGTTAGGTTGAGGGAGGTTTAAAACGTCACCTTCCCTATCCTTTGCAATATGCATCGATTTGTTTTCAATTTTGAAATTGGAAAAGTGAAAAAGTTAGAGCATTCAAGTTTAAGCCGTTTCTTGGTCAAAACAAAACCATACATACACCCCCCCCCCCTTAATCATGATAGGGTTAAGAAATATTTTCCTGAGAAGATCAATTATTTTTCCAAACCCCTCATCTACTCCAGCAACCATCGCACAACTAAAAAAAAGGGTTAAATAGTAGAAAACAATATGAAGAGATATATTATCCAATACCTCATCATTCTTCTGTCATTTTCAATATGTTTGCATTTTTCCTGGAGTCTCGCCGGTGCCTATCACAAAGAAATGTAAGAGAATTTATATAATACATTTCATCTAAATTTGTGTTTTTAGGAATTATTTCTTTTTTAAATATGTAGATATATTAGAATATGTATTTATAAATCAATTGCAAACAAAGTGACATCATTACAGGACTACTTTTTAAGCATATAAATATAGAAAATGGAAGGATCATTAAGATCAGGAAGGGAAAGGAAGAAGAAGCAAGAAGAGGCTGCTTGATTTACCTAAAGTAGACCATGAGGGACAGGATGGGAAAGTTAGAGAAAGAAAGGACTGGTGGTTTTATCTGAAGTGGATCATGAGGGTCAGGAATCAGGATGGATATGTAGAGAATGAAAGGACTGCTGGATTTACCTGAAGTGGATCATGAGGGGCAGGATGGGAAAGGTAGAGAAAGAATGGACTGTTGGATTTACCTGAAGAGGATCATGAGGGGCAGGATGGGAAAGGTAGAGAAAGAATGGACTGCTGGATTTATCTTCAACATGTTTTTGCACCACACTGAATATGGAGCATCTTGCTTACAAAAGAAACTGAAAAGTTGGTGTTTTGAAGGATTTTATGAAACCGTTCGTTAACGTATGGTTTAAAAAAAGTCTAAATGTGCCCAGCCCCATAACAGAGTTGCTGTTAAAAAGGTCTCTTTTTACTTTTTTAATGCTTCACTTTCCTCAGTGCTTCTGTGTTAAACAAATCAGTTGAATAAGTCACATTTTCATATTCGACATTAAAGTCTCTCCAGAAGTCATATCTGAAAATAAAACAAGAATTTGATGTAAATGTATTCAGCTGATTTGAGTCAATGTACCTTCCAGATCCACACTGCTTGGTATAATGGTTGAAGCCCCCACCTAGTAATATGATATTATAATAAGATTTAAGATCTAAAACGAAATTAAAATTGATCTCTTACCTAGCAGACCATAAAAGTGTTTGAATCCTCTATTTCTGGGATGATATTTCAACATGCTACTGCCAAGATGCCATTTACCGACTAGATAGGTTTCATAACCCTCTGATTCCAAGTGCTCAGCCATAGTGGGATACTGAAGAAAATCATGTTCTTTACATAATAAATGTTATTTTATGAACAAAGGTTTTCATTTGCATTTCAAGATAGACATGCCGAATTTTAAACATCGCCAAATAAACCTTCGTCCAAGGAAATGTGATTTAAAGATATCCTTCTTTTTCTATCTTAAAATTGATGATACTAAATTGTGGATTCTTTACAGAATTTCTCAGCTGATTGACATAAAAGGAAGTAAAAGTTCGAATATACATGAGCTTACTTTAGGATGAAGTCCTCCTGGATTACCCCGCATAAGTGCAAGGGAGACCCCGACATTAGCCGCATATCTTCCAGTCATAAGAGCTGCTCTTGTTGGACTACAGGTTGGATGAACATAATAGTTGAACAATCTTAATTAATAATTAAATCACTTAAAACTAAATTAAATTGCATTTAAGATTGAATTATTTTATATTTTTAATCATAAAGATTAATTAAAGTTAACAAAAATTCTTTAAATTCAAAATTTATAACCGGACAAAATTCCTGTGCTCATACTTATTCGAAAAATCAATACTAGAGGAGCTACGAGGTCACAAAGCCGTGTCAGTAATGTAGTTCTCTTTGCCCAAAGTTTGCCTACTTCTTACCAAGAAACTATATACAGGAACGCCCAACTCAGATATACGCAAATTTTGTACTGCACACTGTGGGAGGAATGTAAACAAACCCAGTGCCCCCACAGAAATTGAAGGGAAAGGACTACAGCTCTGGTGTGATATTACAGTCCAACAAAAAACAAGTTAATATATCAAGTTAGAGCGAATACTTATAATTTTTGGCTTTCTGGTCAATATGGAAAATACAACAGCAATATATTCTTATTCCACCCCTTGGGCCCTTTTCTCTCAAAAAAATGATGCGCTGCCCCTGAGTTCTTTGTTTGGATCTCCTCCCACTGCAGTACACAGATTTGACTCATGAGTTATGGCAGTTCCTGGTCTATATATTTCTTGCTTCTTACAATCATAACTTCTTACTATCACTGGTCATTTCTGTTTTTCAATTATAAATTGTAAACTTATAGTTAAGTTTATGTTGCCGAATGAAGTATTTGTTCAAATTGCACATGCCAGCAATAATAAAAATGAAAATCTTATAGTTAAGTTTATGTTGCCGAATGAAGTATTTATTCAAATTGCACATGCCAGCAATAATAAAAATGAAAATCTTATAGTTGAGTTTATGTTGCCGAATAAAGTATTTATTCAAATTGCACATGCCAGCAAAAATAAAAATACAAATCTTAAAATGTTAGGCTTTTAATTTTCTTAATCATACCTGACCGAATCAGCAGCAATGGCATCAATATTATCAGTAATAAATGGAGATTCAGGATTTCTAAATAATGGACATTTTTTGTTTGTTTTTTAATTTCCTATTATTCAACTTTCAAACAAAGTTTTGCAAGCAAGTTGAGGAATTGATTTTTGCCACAAACTTAGATTTAGATTAATCCCTATAATTTTGCAACCCAATATCATATACCTTAGATGTTTTCTATGATTTCTGTTGGATCAAATAATTAAATCATATAAGAAGTTTGAAATAACTAAGATTCACACCGTCAGGTTGCAAAGATAAACGGATGAGAAAATTTGAGTTTGAAAGTTTTGAAATTGTGAATATTTTAAAAAAATTTAATTTTACCTAAATTTAACATCCGCTGAACCCATATCATCAGTCAACCTGGAATATTTAAAGTATTTATTTTGCCAAAATCTCAATGCTTTTGAAAATTGTTGATAAATTCAAAGTCTAAATCACAGAAAAACAAAACTTTTCTTTGTATGTTTTGACTCATTTTGGAATGCACATTTGGTTCACCTAAATTTTTATTTTTTTTTATCTTGATTTATATTTGTTTTAAAATTTTTGTATTAATTAATAATAGTTTTACATTGAGTTGCAATTTTTTACATATTTTACATTTGTTTTATATTGATTAGTATTAGTTTTACATTGAGTTTCAACTTTTTACATATTTTACATTTGTTTTATATTGATTTATATTTGTTTAAATTAATTTTCATATGCTTTAATTAATCTATATTCGATTTTTTATTGATTAACATTTGTTTGATATTGATTTCTTATTTTATTTAACTTGATTTATTTTTGCTTTTTTATTTAAATTTGTTAGATATTGAATTTTTCTAATCGATTAATTTGTTTGATATTAATGGATATTTTAAGTGTCATGGTTCAAATAGTAAAAGTTTGAAATATCAAATATTTAGACCATCATATTGCCAAAATATAGGAAATAGAAATTATGATTTGAGGCTAAAAATCTTCTTTTCTTTGTTTAAACTTACATGAAGATGATGTTTGGTTGTTTTCCTTCCACCCCTGGATTTAATATGAATATAAGAATACATTTAAATATTGTTATCAGCATGCTCAATACAACTTAAACACTAATTTGAATATTCAGCAATATAGTTTCAGGGGGGGAATGACGATTGTCACAAAAAGCATAAATAAAAAAAATATTTTTTTACCTTAAAAATAAAACCTTTTTAAGTTATTTTGCAAATACACCTTTTGACATCTAGCAAAAAAATATATTCTAATAACAATTTCAGCTTAAAAATGTTGCTTTTCAAGTTGCGATTTTTCATCGTATTTAAAAAAAAACTTCTTGAACATTTTTTTTATTTGACTGGTTGATTTTTAACAAATGGAAACAGTTGAACTTTTGCGAAAAAGTTTGCGAAATGCGACCGAAACGTTTCGTTCAATGACACATTCCACATTTTTTTGTTTCTGAACTTTTCTTTTTCGACTGAGGTCGTTTTTTGAAAGTATTGGTCTGAGGCTGTTCAAATTTTTCGACTTTTCTAAATAGTACATGCCCCTCCCTTTAAGATACTGGGCTTTGATACCTACTGCCTAGGTCCTCAGGCACACTGCCGGCCTGAATGCCTTATTTCACATTTATCAGACCAAATCCCAATTTATACCTACTTCATGTCATTGGATTTCAACATTTTATAGCTCTTTGGAAAGCCTTCAACACAATATTGCAAAATTTCTGCAAAGAAATTTGGCGTTGAGGTTTGCACAGACGTCTTAAATGGGAAATTGCACAATTTTAGTTTTTCTTAAACATATATTAAAATTTAGAAATTTTGCAAATATTTTTGCATATTTGAATTCTCTAGATCAAGAACTTTTCAAAAATGTATAATTTATCATTATAGTTTTTTCATAAATTTACATTCTTTGTGCGTAACCCTGTAGTGTATATCTAAATCTTTCAAATTCGAAATTTAATATTTTAACTTTTCTAAAAAGTTTGGATAACTCTTTTTTTGGCGGGAAAAATCTTATTTTTATGTAAAGAAAAGTTCTAGGAATACTTAAAAGTCAAGTAAGATAGTTATTTTATTTATTTTTCTGTGCAGTGTACATTTGTGCTAAGATACGAAAACATTTAAAAACAAACATGAAAGCTAAAAAATAACAAATAAACGTCTGTCAGAGATAAGTGAAATGTACTATTTTACCCTTGATGAGACTCTATAAGACCAGATTTAATAAACAACGAGACTGTAGAATAGGAAGACGATTTTTAGACTCAAATTTCAATTTAAATAGTCTAATAGTCTAACGAACATGAAATACCGTGCAGTGTACACAGACCCATATCGCTACTGTTAAACCTCCAAAAAAACCTTAAAAGTTACAAAAAAACCAAGTTATTGCCTGTCTATATATATATATATATCTTTTCCCCATAGATTTTTTTTAAATTTGGACCTATATACTTAATATATCAATGTAAATATTTTAAATAGATTCTTATTCCTGAAAAATGTTTATAAGTATGTTAAATCAATCAATCGCTTTTGTAAATTATTTAATGGTTGTATTTAAAGGGAGTGTTCACGAAAAATGAAAGGGGGTATAGATTGTCCTTAAACTACTAAAATAAGACTATAAGCCTAACTTGAAGAGAACCTCCATGCAAAGCGTTTTTTAATGATAATTCCATATGTTTCCCTGCAGTAGAAATGCGCAAGTTACTTTTGTAGAGAATCACTTTTAAAAAAATAATAGATAAATCTTATAAACATTGATATGTAACTCAAACTTGATCAGAATAAGATTTAAAGTCGAGCACTATTGTGAATCGAGAATTGACATCTTTGCATGAAGGTTAACTTGAAATTACGCTTACAATCCCTTAAATAAGAATATATTGAGCACAAACTGTTGATGCGTGATTAAGTGCACAAGAATTTCATTAAAAAAGTATAAATCAAGTCTTCCGGTGAATTATGAAAGATACATGATTTAAAAAAATCCTGAATCAGCAAAAACTAGATTAGGTTTTAAACTTTCACGTGATATTCTTCAGATTTAAAGATCTAGTTTAGACGCAGTAGAACGAATATTTTCTATTAAACACTTTTTAAAAATTTTGTTCATTTTGTTAATTCTTAGTTTACTTGTACATAGTAATACTATTTTTAATTTGAGTGTATAACGACCAATTTAAATTTATTTAAATATGAAAAAAAGTTATTTTATGTTTAGTTTTTGGGATCACATTCAGAAAGACCTGAATAAATTTATCAGCTTTTGGGGTTGGCGTTTATTATTACATGCCTGCTATTAGATCATCGGTGTGTATTTATTTATATAAAATATATATTTACTACGGATTGAAATCAGTCTTGAAAAGAATCTTGAAGGAAACTGAGAGGTAACCATAAAGAATAGAATATATATTAGAGGGGAATTTAAAGAATCTCTTGGTATGAATTTTTTCAGTCCCTTTCTGCCTGAAAGGGAGTTCAAAGTGTACAAATCATGTAAATGTTCACAAATTATATGCAGTAGAGTACATTAATACAGTATGTTACCTAGACTATTCATTTCAATTTCGAATTTTTTAAACTGTTAAATAAAATTTATAATGAATAAAAAACATCATTCATGATTTATAGTTATAACGGAAAATCACCGTTTGTAAAGTGGAAGGCATAGAGTCTATGTGAAATGATCATTGGTCAATTATGAAACCAGCCTATTTCATAATTTGGTTTTCTTTTAACAATAATTTTAGATTTTCTATAAAATGATATTCCAGGGCCCAAAAGGTTATATAGCATAAATATATGAAGTACACCTGCAGTACAACAAAATGGCCGTTTTACACTTTTTTCTGGTAAATTCCCATCTGTATATTCTATTCTCTATGGAGATAACCGTTTGTGCGTATTTGAGCGTAATCTTTAGTGACCCTTAATACAAGGATGGTAATGCCCGATTGAAACCTTTATTTTAACAATGTGGAAGATACTGTCGTTTTTTTAGGTTAAAAAGTGAATACTTGATGCAGTAAAAATGCGCAATTTCCTTTTCTTGAGAAATCACAATTAAAAATAATCAGTTTTCACAATTTTAAACATTTAAAACTAATTCCTACTGTACCTGACAAAGCTTTTGAGTACCGTTGTGAATTGTGAATTTATAGGTACCGTTGTAAATAGTGAATTTAAGGGTACCGTTGTGAATTGTGAATTCAAGGGTACCGTTGTGAATAGTGAATTTAAGGGTACCGTTGTGAATTGTGAATTTATAGGTACCGTTCTGAATAGTGAATTTAAAGGTACCGTTGTGAATTGTGAATTTATAGGTATCGATGTGAATAGTGAATTTAAGGGTACCGTTGTGAATTGTGAATTTAAGGGTACTGTTGTGAATTGTGAATTTAAGGGTACCGTTGTGAATTGTGAATTTAAGGGTACCGTTGTGAATAGTGAATTTAAGGGTACCGTTGTGAATAGTGAATTTAAGGGTACCGTTGTGAATTGTGAATTTAAGGGTACTGTTGTGAATTGTGAATTTAAGGGTACCGTTGTGAATAGTTAATTGGTATCTTTGCATGAAGGGTCACTTGAAACTATGCAAACTTGTAATGCATATATTTTTATCAATTCAAAACAAAGGCATAAGTCAATTATTAAAAAAAATAATCAAATCCATGTTTAGGTCCAATATTTCTATGGACACAGATCGTGGAGTATCTTTATCTGAAGATTGGTTTTTGACGCAGAAAAGAAATTGTCAAGCTTTAAACTGGTTGGATGGTATTATTGTCTGCAAGGTACAGGGTGTCCTATGAAACATGACAGTTGTAAGACGAACGTCGAATGTCGTCTTTGAACGTTGAGTTTATTTACATTTAGTCGTCAACCTACTTTCACTTGATTGTTGAAACAATTATAAGCACAATATTCTCTTGTCAATTCCAATACGTTGTCTGCCGTTTTTGTGCTGTAAATATTACCGGAGATATTAACAATTTCAATTAGATTTGAATTTTATTGAATAATACCAAAATTGTCGAAATCTTAATTAAATTCTTCATATCTCCAGTAATATCGAAAGCACAAAAAAGGCAAACCACATTTTGGAAATGCCAAGACTAGGAGAATCTTTTTGATTACTCTATTTACTTCTTAAATTAAGTTTACGAATGAATTCACCCTTTTTCAAAAATCACAGACAACAATTAATTAGTCTTGCTACTGTCATGTTTCGTGGGACACCCTTAGGTTACGTATATGGATGAAACTTAAATTAAAACTTGAAACTAAGATTTTTTGTAAAACTAAGACTTGAAACTTGATTTAAAAACTAGTTTTTAAATTGAAATTAGAGACCACCACAAAGCTAGAAGTGTTTGACTGATTTCAAAACAAAGATTTGTATCGTAGGACTGCAAACATGTGAGCAAAGACGACAAAAGATACGAACAGCATTTTAAAGAAGCGAGGCATGTTAACTGGTTTAGAAATATGGCGTACAGGTATGAATATATTATTCACATTTTGTTTATTTAAAAATCTAATGGAAATATATATATTAGGGTGATTAAATATCAGGTCAAAAAAATGTTGCTGACTAGACATGTGTCTTTAATTGATAATGATTTCAGGAAAGTACAAGGGAGTGGGACTCAAAGTTTTTTTTAATGCAATTTAGACAAATTTCCTGTCACATGGGCCACCCTTAAACTTTCATGATTTCACATCTAATCTAACTGTAGTCTAATAATGACTAAAAAATAAAAAAAAAATATTTTATATTCAGATTTAGTTATTTTCCCTTTATATTTTCTTATTTTTTTAGATTTAAAAAGCTTTGACTTGAATTATCGTCCTGAATATAGTTAAAAACACAATATATGCCTTTTAAAAATGTTTAAACATGAAAAGTTTTTTTTTGATAATTTTCTCATTTAAATTTTGATTTTTATTCCAGACAGCCAAAGAAGAGAACTATTTGGTTGAGAATCTGGTTCAGTACTTTCTCACGGTTAGAAGAGGTAAAAAATAATAATTTTTTTTAGTCATTTTATTATAGCCATTTGGCCCACTATTAGCGCAAACATGTAATTGAGCAAATAGCTTTATTTTATAAATTGAAAGTTGGGAAATGAATTATTAAATTTTTATTTATTTCTGTTTCAGACGAACCCTTTTGCACTCTGTATAGACGAATCCGAAGAATTATTAGCTGATAACCAGACTGATTAAACTGAGGAATAGTTAGTGGATAACGTGGCTGATTAATCTGATGAACTGTTAACGGATAACCTGGCTGATTAATCTGATGAACTGTTATCGGATAAACTGACTGATTGGTGAATTGTAAGCAAATAAACCAACTGATTAATCAGAAGAATAGTTAGAGGATAGACTAGCTGATAAATCTGATTAATTGTTGGTTTAGACCCTCAATAATTAATCTGATAAATAGAATAATCATAGCTGGTTAATCTGATGAATTGCTAGTAAATAACCTGACTGATTAATCTGATGCATAGTTAGCGGATAACCTGGCTTATTAATCTGTGAACTGTTATTGGATAAGCTTTTAATCTGATGAAATGTAAGAGGAAAAATTTACTGATTAATCTGATGAATCTTCCGCGGATAACCTGACTGATTAAACTGATAAATCTTCCGCGGATAACCTGACTGATTAAACTGATGAACTGTTAGCGGATAACCTGACTGATTAATCTGATGAACTGTTAGCGGATAACCTGACGGATTAATCTCATGAACTGTTAGCGAATAACCTGACTGATTAATCTCATGAACTGTTAGCGGATAACCTAACTGATTAATCTCATAAATAGTTCGTGGATAATCTGAATGATTAATCTCATGAACTGTTAGCGGATAACCTGACTGATTAATCTCATGAACTGTTAGTGGATAACCTGACTAATTAATCTCATGAAATGTTAGCGGATAACCTGACTGATTAATCTCATAAATAGTTAGTGGATAATCTGACTGAATTCTCTGATGAATAGTTAGCGAATAAACTGACTAATTAATCTGATGAAAAGTTAGCGGATAACCTGACTGATTAATTTGATGAACTGTTAGCGGATAATCTGACTGATTAATTTCAATAACTGTCAGCGGATAACCTCAATTAATTAATCTCATAAACTATTAGCGGATAAATCTCATGTATAGTTCGCGGATAACCTGAATGATTAATCTCATGAATAGTTAGCAGATAAACTGACTGATTAATCTGATAAGTAGTTAGCAGATGACCTGGCTGATTAATCTGATGAATAGTTAGCGGATAACCTTGCTGATTAATCAAATAAAGGAATTACTTTTAAATTTGTACGAAACACAAATCTGTAAAAAATTAAATGCAATGCATCGTTATAACCTAAACAGTAATGTATGCAAAAATAACATTATTAAATAAAGGAAAGTATTTTTTCGATGATTTTTTGTTGTAAAAAATACAGACAAAACATAATCCACTGAACAAAAAGCACACCTGCAGTTATGCAGTGTACACAGACGTTCTTCTGTAGAGAAATTGGTTGATACCCTGTTACCCTGGTTAGCTGATATCCTGTAGATAAATTGACTGACACCCTGTAGATAAATTAGCTGCCATACTGTAGATAAATTAACTGATACCCTGAAAATAAACTGACTGACACCCTGTAGATATATTAGCTGCCATACTGCAGATAAATTAACTGATACCCTGAAAATAAATTGACTGACACCCTGTAGATAAATTAGCTGCCATACTGTAGATAAATTAACTGATACCCTAAAAATAAATTGACTGACACACTGTAGATAAATTAGCTGCCATACTGTAGATAAATTAGCTAAAACCATGTAGATAAATTAGCTAACACCATGGAGATAAAATAGCTGCCATACTGGAGATAAATTAGCTAAAACCATGTAGATGAATTAACTGACAACCTGTAGATAAATTTGTCATTAAAAACTTAAAAACGGGGTTTTAGAGAAAAGATTTGTAAATTCAAAATTTAAGGATCCTTTTTTATGTTGATTGGATGATAGGAGGAGGATTTAAGTGTAGATTTACGAACACCAACCAAGAACTAACAAAAGAAAAAAGTAACGAAAAGATAGAAAGGGAAAGATAGAAAGGGAAAGATAGAAAGGTAAAGATAGAAAAGGAAAGATAAAAAGGTAAAGATAGAAAAGGAAAGATAGAAAAGGAAAGGATAAATAGAGAAGGTCAAAATGAAAAACAACACAAGAGATGTTTATCGATGTAGACTTCTAAACATAGAGAATAGAATATATATTAGAGAGGAATTTAAAGAATCTCTCGGTATGAATTTTTTCAGTCCCTTTCAGCCTGAAAGGGAGTTCAAAGTGTACAAATCATGTAAATGTTCACAAATTAAATGCAGTAGAGTACAATAGTACAGTATGTTCCCTAGACTATTCGAATTTGTTAAAGCTGTTAAATAAACTTTATAATGAATTAGGTGAATAAAAAACATTATTTGATTTATAGTTATAACGGAAAATCATTGTTTGTAAAGTGAAAGTCATTAGAGTCTATGTGAAATGATCATTGGTCAATTATGAAACCAGCCTATTTCATAGTTTGGTTTTCTTTAATATTAATTTTAGATTTTCTATAAAATGATATTCCAGGGCCCAAAAGGTTATATAGCATAACTATATGAAGTACACCTGCAGTACGGAAACAATACAACAAAATGGCCGTTTTACACTTTTTTCTAGTAAATTCCACTGTAATATATATTCTATTCTCTTTGCTTCTAAACAACAGAATATGTGCGCGAAAGAAAACCAAAAAAATAAAAGAAAAGAGAAACCAAGAGATAAATTTAAATATTGACCCCTGAACAATTTATCTTCCCTTGTTCTGGTACTTTCTAACTGTCCCTTTCTCTAATGTTTACATACAGTCAGCCTTAATGTCCCCTTCAGAAAAACAGCGTACTGCAACTGTCGGACAAATGTCTTACTGGGGATGAATTAGCTAACACTCTGTAGATAAAGTGGCTGACATTTAAATATAATTTAAGAAAATAGAAATTGAAATTTTTGTATGTTAGTTTATGTTTGAGTTCTAATATTTCAAATGATCTGTCAGAACTTCAATTTATTTTATCTAATTAAAGCTCAATCAGGATCAAAATATGATTTCAAAGATTCATTTACAACTTCACAAGTAGGACACGTTAATTTAGGTTTTATATAAAACATCAAACATAGTCAACAGACATTCATTAATCAATTTTGAGGAAATTATAGGATTAGGATTTTTCCAGCCCGGGATTGTTTCCTAGGCCATAAAGAACTTTTCTTTCAGTTTTAAACCTCCCTAGAACCCTAACCATTGAGTTAGAGATCAAATTTATTGTACCTCCAGAACTCAAACGCCTTTCTAGGAGGAGGCGTTGGTCCCCGTCCCCCCCCCGCATTTTATTTATTAGTCAGAGCTCTAACAAACAATTTCGAAATCGTTCGTTCGATGAAACTTTTAAAAAATAATTTGTTGACTGAACAAATAGCTGAACAAAAATTGCGTCTTTATTACTGAACGAACAATATTCTCGAACAATGTTCAGTAAAAAAAACTATAGTTTCTTACTGAACGAGCGATTTTACTGAACAAACAATTTGACTGACTGAATTGTTTATTTGAAGGATCCGTCAGTTAAAAAACGAACTAAATAGATGGACATTAAAAAAATTATAATAGAAATTATAACCCCCCCCCCCCTTCGGGTTATTATTAGTGTGGTGCATAGAGATAATTTTGAACAAGATAAGATAAACTTTATCAGTCCTGATAACAAATAACAGAGAACAGTTTAATATTATGTCATATTAAAACATCAAAAAAAAACTTTAAAAATAGATTAGAATAATCTTTGATTATAGAATAATATATTTTTGACATTTTTTTTCTGCAGTTTTCTTTTATCTACTTTGTACTTTGCCAGCACTTATAATATATCCAGTTATTTACTGTTTACAGAGAAGAGTTTAGACATTAATAAAGTGAAATACAAGATGGGACCAGGAATTATCCTAATACTGATAATATCTATTGGTAAGTTTCTTGTAACGTAACCTGTCTTTTCAAATATTGTGAAATAATTTTAAGACTTTTGGTCAAATCAATATTAAGTTCAAATTGGTTGTTCTCAGTTATTTTCAAGCTTGTATTAATAAGATTTAATCGCGATCAAATCTCTAAATTAGTTTGTTTCATTCAGAATACTGGCACGATTTAATAACCTTGTTACTCCCTTAATATCATTTTTAAACCATTTAGAAAATTTGCATAAATTATCAAGACTGGGTCGTTAACACCTTGGCCTTTCTATTGACCTTACTAAGTCAATCATACTTTTTTGTAGCCCTCAACAATAGATTTACAGATTTCAGAACTATAAATTTTTTATCTACAACTTATAAAGAAGTTGGTAAAGGAATTGAGTCTTTGCCACAAATTCAGTTTTTGTAACACCTATATCTTTGCAACCTTATGATGTAAACCTTTGATATTTCAAACTTACATTATTTAATCTAACAGAATTCATAGTTTGAAATATTAAAGGTCTACGACATTGGGTTGCAACGATATTGAAATTAGAAAATCAGAGTTTGTTACAAAAACTCAATTCCTTTATCATCGTTTTTTAATTGAATAAGAGCTTGAAACCCTTGAAACTTTAATCTGATCAAAAATGTAGAGGATACCGTTGTTTTCTTAGTCAAAAAGTGTTTAATTCTGATAATTTTTCCATTGCTGCTTATGATGAAGAAATGCGTAAGTCACCGCTAATAAAAACACATTTAAGAAACAAAAAATCTAACAAATCCATACTTGATTAGACCTAGTTTTCAAGGCTACAGAACTGTAAATATGGCCTTGCCATCTTTACATGAAGGGTGACAGAATATATTTAGGTTCCCTCTATTCCTCTCCAGAACTGTAAATAAGGCCCTGCTATCTTTACATGAAGGGTGACAGAATATATTTAGGTTCCCTCTATTCCTCTCCAGAGCTGGATGAATATGAAGAAACTAGAGCAGCTTTACTCCAACAAGAAGTAGAACTCAGGAAAAATACAAATTATTCCTCAAAACAAACTTTATTACACTTTATAACATGAAATTAATAATATTATTTATACGTCCGTATCACGTGACCAGTAGCAGTTTTCAGATTGGTTGCGTTTTGCTGAATATGATCTGTTTAAACCTAGGATTTTTAAATAAATTTTTATATAGATACATTTTCGTATCAATTTGACACAGTTTTATATCAATTTCTCGAGACAGGACCATCAGATAGAACTCTTATCGGTTTCGATCAAAAATGCTTGGGTTTAAGCCTATACACCCTTTCATTTTTCCTTTACAGTCCCTTTAATGACCCGATTTGTTAGTTTTTTTTTCAGTAAAAACTTAACATTGTTTCTTATAATCACAATTATTGTTTAATTTTTATCTACTTTGTTCGTTATCCAACTGAACGATCATTCAATTATATCGTTTGTTCAGTGAGTTCGTTCATTTAGGGAATCATTCTTTCACTACAATTGTTGGTTTAGCAAAACCGTTCGTTAACAGTAAGAGAGATCAAACAAATGAGAACGATAGTTAATAATCTTGAATTGTTCGTTCCTGTTCTTTTTGTTCCTTTCAGAAAAACAAAAGTTTTTATTTCTCTAATTCACCGAATTTGTTCGACCATTCTTAATTAATTAAGTTCGTTCATTCAGAAACATTTGGATTGTTTACAAAATCGATTTCCGTCCTTATGTACTGCACTATACGGTTATGTTAAGAAAATTGTGGATTTCTTGTCATCGTCCTTCATTGTTTTAAATAAAAACTTTGGAAACTCATTCCACTGTAATTTCAATGTGTTTATTTGTTTATCTAAAGTTTGGGCTGGGAACTGGAGTTAAGTGATGAGGAGGAGTACTTTAACCAACTACTCCTGGCGGAGAAAATAAAGGAGATGACAGAATCTTTCCAAACTGCTCGGTTCCCACCCTCTTTCTCATTTCTAGAAACATGGTAGGCGATAATAATCTCAAGAACTAAGATAATTTAGTTGGTGTTCTATCCCGTTAGATAGATAGATAGATGGATAACGTTTATTGTTAAAATACATGTATCTGTGAAGTGTATACAGAACAAGTTACAATTTACAAATTGATAATTAATTTAACAGTGCAAGTATAAAGCAATTGGGTGGAAATTGGAAAATAGCTCTTGGCTGTTTTGATTATTTTTTCCACCTAATTTCAATAATGATAACAAAACATTTCAATCAAACAGATTTAATTTAAGACAACTATTTTAGCCGTATTTGGTCTGAATGTATACTGTATAACTTGTCTTTGCTTCCTTATAGGGGACCATTCACTTATTTGTATATTTTCAGGATAAACTAAGTATACTTTTAGCTATTTATTGGTATTAGTCCTACTTTTCAACGATAACTGTGGTCGGTGAAAAAGCTGATTTGTCGCCTCAGAAATTCCACAAAAAGGTGCACACCTTTTTAGTTTACCATGAAAATACCCAAATAAGTGAACAGTCCCTATAAAGCAAGTCCGGTACTTTTAATGAACCGTCGTTTACAGTGATGCAAACATACAGAGGACATACTTGTAAAGTTTCAAATCCAGATTTTAAACTCGGTTACAGTCATCACTTTTCCCCGTCATATCTATCTGGATGGAGAAACGTGTGACGGTTAGTCAAATTAAGATTTATCTCATGAGATGAAATGATTACATCTATTAATTATATGTTCACTTAAAAAATATTCCTACAACCATAATCTGACAACTTTATCTATTAACCTAATTTTAGGCAGGACTATGATAATTCGACAGTGTTCCAAATGCTTAAAAAGATTCCCAAGGTAAAACAATTTTTAAAAAAAGTTTAAGATTGATTCTTTTTTTGAATTTTAGGGAGGAATCCTGCATATCCATGATATAAGTATGACGAGTGTGGACTGGTTAATATCAAATGCTTCCTACAGAGAGAATTTGTTTGTTAAAAGGGTAAAATAACTTTTTTTATGAAAACCAATTTTAATTTTTGTCCTTTTAAAATTTACTGCATGGATTGAGTAAATAATTAGTTTAACAATTATTTGTATTTCAGCTAACAAACGCTTTCTAGGTCGGTAGACTGCTTATTTTGAAATAAAAAATCACTTATTATAGTGGGATAGATGCCAAAAAAGAGACAAACAATCGCTTAAATTTAACAAAAATAAATCACTTATTTGGCAGTTACCCATTTTTCTGATGCCAAATAGATTTATATTTAAAACATAGATTATTTGATCTAACAGAATTCAAAGTTTAAAATATCTAAAACATTTGATTGTAAAGATAAAGAAAGATATTAGAAAATCAGAGTTTGTGGCAAAGACTTAATTCATTTCTTGAATACATTGAAATCCATCATTAATGGGACTGTGAAAATAATTTTAAAGATGGCAATGCCCGATTTCCAAACTTAGTCTGATCAAAAAAAAGTTCCTTGGTTTTCTGCTTAGTAAACTGTTTTCTTCAGATAATTTCTCAATTGTTTCTTTTAAGTAAGATATGCGCAAGTAAATTTTACAGAGAAAAAAAAATAAAAATAAACAGTTAAAAAAACATGAAATTTTAATTCTTTCTTAAAGAGACAAAGTTTTCAAGGGGGTATAATGTCATCTTTAAGGTGAGGGTCATTAAAAATTACGCTTACAGTCCCTTTTAATTGATATTTTTAGGAAGTTGAGCCTGTTGAGTTTCGTTTTATGGAAGAAGCAGAGGAAGGCTGGGAGAGTGTTGCGGCATTGAGAGAAGAAGTTGGCGCTGGAAAGGTGATTCATTGATTTACAAACAATTGGATTTATTTTCTGCAGTTAAATTTATTCCGAGCCACTTTTAATTGCTAGGGCCGGGCGTAGAGGTGTAATGAATATTGTGTAGCATTTATCTGTAAAACTGGTCTACGTTGTACATTATTAATAACCTAACTACACTTTCAATTAATTATAGACGTTTGTAAATAATTATGTAAAACCTGTATCATGATTTAGCTTATTTACGTTCGTAAATAACTACGCATAACTTGTAATTACGTTCATTAACTTAACCTGTATCATAGAATTCAAAATAAACGTTGGTTGGAATAATACTCCACTTTGATTACGGTGTGAGAGTAATTGTTTCTTGGTTAGCGGATGAGAAGCGTCCTGAATCACTTTCTTGAAAGATAAATGCAGATTGGGAATTAAATTGAGGTGTAAAATGTAAGACAGATACCTGGTATACAGACTGAGTCGAATCCGGATTGATATTGACTATGGTATTTGTGTTAACCTTGAGTTCCTGATTGAGTTGTATCTTGTAAGACAGATACCTGAGAATACATGCTAAGTCATATCCGGATTGATATTGACTTTGGTATTCATGAGAACCTTGAGTTCTAGATCGAGTTATATCTTGTAAGACAGATACTTAAGAATACAGATGGAGTCGTATCCGGATTGATACTGAACAAGGTATTATTGGAGAACCTGGAGTTCGAGATTGAGTTGTACCTGGATTGATACTGATCAAAATGTATTAATTGGAGTAGGACATTTACTGCAGAGGGAAGGGGGTGTGTGCCCAAAATGGAGGACACAGGGTCGGGTTGATGGGAGGATAGAAAAAAGGAAAACGGAAACGGATAAAAGTAGAAGATAAAGGAAAATATTCTGACAAAAATTAAAATTATAGATTTATGATTTTGTATTAAATTCATGATTTTAATAGTTTGATACATGGATAAAGAGCAAACTGCAGATGGGGATAGAGCAAGAAAGGTAACAGTTGTTCAACGACAATTATTCAAAATATCATAAAATTTTATACAATTTAATATTTTATCTAATTTTGCTTCTGCACTTAGAACTCTGATAAAATCAGGAAGAACTTGAATCGAAATCAAAATTTATTAATTTTGAAAGTGGGTTAATGCAGAATTAGGACACAGCGGAATACAGTAAAACATGGCTGGCTTTAGAAAAAAATATAATTTTGCAATCTATATGTATATTTTGCTTGTCTGGGTGTCTATTTGTTTGAAACCAATTAACGTCAAAACTGCTAAACTGATCGAGCCAAAAGTTTCAAAGAACGTTTATGGATGGTCATTATTGGAATATTTTGCCTTAAAAAATTTTGAATTTTAAAAAACCTTCAAAAAAGACGGGTGGGGGTCTGAATCTATATATATCCTGGGGGGGGGCAGTCAAAGGTATAGTGCTACAATGTATGTTTAAAGCTAAAAAAGGGCCGAAAAAATGTAAAAAAAATTTAGTTTTGACAAATATTTTACATTAGTTTCACCATTCATTTTTCGAGGGCTTATAAAAAATATAGTTTACAGATCATTAGCTTTAGTTACAAAAAAGTCATGGGCTGTTGGTGATTTGTTTTACTGCGGAGCGGACTTTTTACCGCCTTGTACCCTTACCCTATAATGCATTAACAAAAATGTAGGTGATAGTGTCAAAATGAGAACGCTAGGGCTAAACCCCCCTCCCCTCGATCCTAGCCTGGTTAGAGTTAAAATTGTCATAAAAAGTTTTTAAAATCCGTGCTGAAATATATCGATGCCCATCATTCACACAAGACTTTAGACAGGCATTAGATGGTAAATACGAAACGATTAACCATATAAATGAACCATTTCTAATTAAATAATCACTCCCGTATGCAGAGTCCATTAGCGCCTGATCCAATCAGGGTTCAGTCATGAGTTTGTTGTCTATTCTGAACCAATAGAAATAGTATCTATCTTATTATCCAATTAGAGATATTACTTCTTCAATCGGCGCTATTAGTAAATGGAATTATTTACTTCTACTGAAACTAAAGTGAATATGAACTAGGTATGAGACAATCAATGATATATGGAATAAGTTCACTAACTGCCTGAGATCAGCCCTGGGTATAATCACATTCAAACCAGTCTTTACAGGTAGGGTTGCTAATCGTTTTAAAAAACGATTGTTTTTTGTTTTTGTATAACGATAGTTTCGTTTTTAGAAAAATCAAATGTTTTTGAAAACGTTTTGAACTTTTTAACATGTGGCCAGTTTCTTTATTTTCAAAGCATGATAAATCAAAGCCTTATTTAGATTGATACATTTCTTTCTAAAGACAATACAAAGACTTTATTTTTATTCTTGTTTCTTGTTCCTAATATTCTTTTTTAAATCATGTATTATAAAAATTGTTGTCAAATAGTTACATCCATCGTTTACAACAACATACAAAATACATAGAAAAAAAATATCTAATTATTTAACGATGATCAAAGCAAATGTTTGCTTAAAGATGTTAGAATTGAGATTATGTTTAGATATCTATTTTGCTTATTCATAAAAAAACGAAAGGGATTCAATGATCGGTTTTTAGATTATTTTGAAAGGGCACTTAAAGAGTTCTCAGCAGATGGTGTTCAGTATCTGGAATTCAGGTAGTTTTCTTATGTAAAATATTTTTTTTAAAAAAATTTTTTAAAATTTTTAATTTTTATTTTTTTTACAAATTACAATTTTTAAGCGACTAGTAATTGATACATGTTTATAATGCAGATAATCATTTTTTCTAATATTCTTCTTTTCTGTCTACCCTTTTTCATTTTATTTAACTGTTTTATATTATCTGCATACCCCCACCCCCCTCCTGAATGGGTAATTTGCACTTCTGAACATGGTTGATATAGCAATTTGTATTTCTTTATTCTTGCTGTGTACACTTACACTGTACACTGTGCACTGTACACTGTACACTGTACACTGTACACTGTGCACTGTACACTGTACACTGTACACTTACACTGTACACTTACACTGTACACTTACACTGTACACTGTACAGCCTAAATTTGAGTTGCACGCTCCTTCACAAGATTAAGCCTGAAGCTGACTTTGTCAATTTTTCTACGGGTTTATACTCTGGAAATAGATTAGTAAAATTTAGATTTTTTCTTAAATTCTGAATCTGCTGCATCATCCAAGTATCCTGCAGTAATTTTGAAAAAAAGTTCAAGATATCTTCATAGCCTTTAACTATATGAATACACCATATCGTACTTACATATTTGTAACCTTTTGTCTATCTATCATATGTTACCTATATTACATTTTGCGGTCAGTCCTTATGACTACTACCTGTATCATTAGACCAAATATAGACAGTTGGAGATAAGGAATATCTTAATTTATTAATTGATCTTAATTTCAAGAAAAAAAAATATTTAATCGGATTTAAAGCATATTTAAACTTATATAACCAAGGGCGTAAACTTAAACTTATATAACCATACACGAGAACTCAGATCTGTCACACATATAAATAAACGAAGATAAAGAAACATTTTCAGATAGAGAAACATTTTCAGATAGAGAAACATTTTCAGATAGAAAAACCTTTTCAGATAGAGAAACCTTTTCAGATAGAGAAACATATACAGATAGAGAAACATTTTCAGATAGAGAAACATCTTCAGATAGAGAAACATCTTTAGATAGAGAAACATTTTCAGATAGAGAAACATCTTCAGATAGAGAAACATTTTCAAATAGGGAAACATTTACAGATAGAGAAACATTTTCAGATAGAGAAACATTTACAGATAGAGAAACATCTTCAGATAGAAAAACAATATCAGATAAAGAAACATCTTCAGATAGAGAAACATTTACAGATAGAGAAACATTTTTAGATAGAGAAACATTTTCATTTAGAGAAACATCTTTAGTTAGAGAAATATTTTCATAAAGAGAAACAATCTAAGATTGAGAAACTACAAAATCCTTCTAATTGTTATTTTAAAAGGATTAAATTAATTGTACTGTTGTAATTAATGACTAAGATATGTTCCAGTTCCTGGCTGAAAACCCTGATTGGTGTGGTATCAAGATGATTTTTGCCCCAGTCAGGAAAAAACAATTAGTTCATAAAACAAAATATTTTCATATGTTTAAATATTTTAATTTTGAACTGATAATTTGTTCAAATGCTTAAACTATGAATTAATTGTCTGTTCAAATGTTTTAACAATGAACTTATTGTCTGTTAATATAATATATTTAAATTATAAACTGATTGTTTCTTAAAACATTTAAACTATGAACTGATTTTCTGTTCAAATGTTTTAACTTTAAATTAATTGTCGGTTCACATGTTTAAACTATGAACTAATTGTCTGTTCAAATATTTAAACTACGAACTGATTGTCTGGTTCAATATTTAAACGATGAACTAATTGTCTGTTCAAATACTTAGTGAAGTGATTGTCTTAGTGAATGAAGTGATTGTCTCTTAAATGTTTAAACTATGAACTAATTGTTTGTTCAAATATTTAAACTACGAACTGATTATCCGTTCAAATGCTTAAACTATGAACTAATTGTCCGTTCAAATATTTAAACTTTGACCTTATAGTCTGGTTAAATATCTAAACTCTGAACTTATCGTCTGTTTAAATGCTTAAACTATGAACTAATTGTCTGTTTAAATAATTAAACTATAAACTAATTGTCTGTTCAAATATATAAACTATGAAATAATTGTCTGTTCAAATATATAAACTTTGAAATAATTGTCTATTCAAATATATAAACAATGAGCTAATTGTCTGTTCAAATATATAAACTATGAACTAATTGTCTGTTCAAATATTTAAACTAAAACTGATTGTTTCTTAAAACATTTAAACCATGAACTGATTGTCTGTTCAAATATTTAAACTATGAACATAGTTTCATAAAATGGTTTTGTTACTAAACTTATTTATGGATTGATGACAAAAGTCTGTTCAAATGTTTAAACTTTAAACTGATTGTCTGTTAAATTTTTAAACTATGAACTAATTGTCTGTTCAAATATATAAGCTATGAACTAATTGTCTGTTAAATGTTTAAACTATGAACTAATTGTCTGTTCAAATATTTAAACTATGAACATAGTTTCATAAAATGGTTTTGTTACTAAACTTATTTTTAAACTATGAACTAATTGTCTGTTCAAATATATAAGCTATGAACTAATTGTCTGTTAAATGTTTAAACTATGAACTAATTGTCTGTTCAAATATATAAGCTATGAACTAATTGTCTGTTCAAATATATAAACTATGAGCTAACTGTCTGTTCAAATATATAAGCTATGAACTAATTGTCTGTTCAAATATATAATATATAAACTAATTGTCTGTTCAAATATATAAGCTATGAACTAAATTTCTGTTCAAATATATAAGCTATGAACTAATTGTCTATTAAAATATATAAACTATGAGCAAATTGTCTGTTCAAATATATAATATATAAAGTAATTGTCTGTTCAAATATATAAGCTATGAACTAATTGTCTGTTCAAATATATAAGCTATGAACTAAATGTCTGTTAAAGACATGTAAGTGAATCTACTGTAGAGCAAGATCTGCAAGTAGCTCGAGATTTAAAAGAACTAATGCCTGAGTTCTTCGCTGGGTTTGATCTAGTTGCTCAAGAGGATATAGGATATCCGCTAGCAGACTTTATAGGAACATTTCCAGTGAAAACCTTTCTTTCATTCAAACAGTCAGATCCTTAAAACGAATGAATGGCAAGAATAGCAAATTTATTGTTTTTAAAAGTTGTTCTCTCGAAAAAATGAAAAAAATTGTTAATTTTTACTATTTTTTACTTGTAATGTAATATTCTAGCATACGTTTTTTCTTCTGAATTCTGGGACGGGCCTTTATATAGAGACATTTAATCTGAAATATGTGTTTGATTAGAACCTCTGCTGGAGACAAGACAATATGTGGACTATTTCTTTCATGCAGGTTAAAAATTTATTTAAATCAAATTCCTAAATGTTAAAAATAATGATTTTATTGTTTGTACAGGAAATTAAAAAGTAAAAAAAAATGAAAACAAATGAAAACAAAATTGTATTCAGTAATTGAAAGTCCAATGTTTCTAAAATCTAAAATGGGGGTAAAATAATCATGGAAATTTCGCAATAAATTTTCCAAAGATACGCTGCTATGATAACATCAGTGTAGTGAGATACAATGTAACAGCACCCTTGAAAAACTATAGGACGATATACGTTTGGCTTCTTCAATTTGATTTCAATTTTGGTTGATCAACAATTTTTAAACTTACTAAGTTGGCTTTTTTATGTACACTTTTTCATTTACAATGTATTCGCCGAAAAAACGTATAAAAGTAGAAAATAAAAAAAGGAGAAACAGACTGGGATTGTTACAGTAATATTTATCAGAAACAGACTGGGATTGTTACAGTAATATTATGAGAAACAGACTGGGATTGTTACAGTAATATTTAGGAGAAACAGACTGGGATTGTTACAGTAATATTTAGGAGAAACAGACTGGGATTGTTACAGTAATATTTAGGAGAAACAGACTGGGATTGTTACAGTAATATTTAGGAGAAACAGACTGGGATTGTTACAGTAATATTTAGGAGAAACAGACTGGGATTGTTACAGTAATATTTAGGAGAAACAGACTGNAAACTGATGGAGATGGCAAGGCAGAAAGATATTCCTATAGAAGTCTGCCCTATTTCAAATCAGGTTAAAGTTTACTAAATAATTTTGGAGATAAAAAAAACTGAAAACATCCCTCAAAATCCTAAATCTATTTAACCTGGTAGTGCATCGACTTGATATTTTAAACTTTTTTTTATTAAATCAAGAAAGATGCAACGTCTACATTATTAAATTCCAAAGATAATATAAGAGTTTGAAAAAAATGTTTAATTCCTTTAAATCCATTATTTTAATTGTTTTTGTAAAAGGTTCTTGGACTCCTATCTGATATAAGAAATCATCCTGCCTCATCTTTAGTTAAAACAAGCTTTCCTATAGTTATATCCAGGTACAGCTTTCCTATAGTTATATCCAGGTACAGCTTTCCTATAGTAATATCCAGGTACAGCTTTCCTATAGTTATATCCAGGTACAGCTTTCCTATAGTTATATCCAGGTACAGCTTTCCTATAGTTATATCCAGGTACAGCTTTCCTATAGTTATATCCAGGTACAGCTTTCCTATAGTTATATCCAGGTACAGCTTTCCTATAGCTATATCTAGGTACAGCTTTCCTATAGTTATATATCCAGGTACAGCTTCCTATAGTTATATCCAGGTACAGCTTTCCTATAGTTATATATCCATATACAGCTTTCCTATAGTCATATATCCAGGTACAGCTTTCCTATAGTTATATCCAGGTACAGCTTTCCTATAGTTATATATCCAGGTACAGCTTTCCTATATTTATATATCCAGGTACAGCTTTTCTATATTTATGTATTCAGGTACAGCAATCCTATAGTTATACATCCAGGTACAGCTTTCCTATAGTTATATATCCAGTTACAGCTTTCCTATAGTTATATATCCAGGTACAGCTTCCTATAGTTATATATCCAGGTACAGCTTTCCTATAGTTATATCCTGGTACAGCTTTCCTATAGTTATATATCCAGGTACAGCTTTCCTATAGTTATATATCCAGGTACAGCTTTCCTATAGTTATATATCCAGGTACAGCTTTCCTATAGTTATATCCAGGTACAGCTTTCTTATATTTATATCCAAAAGTGAGGATAAGGTTTATGACAAAAAAGAAACGGTTTATGAAAATTATGAGAAGTTTCTTTAAAAAAAAGAGTTTAAGAAAAATTAAAAACATATTTGAAATGGAAGGGTATTTCTATGAAGAATGTGAGTATGAAAATTCAGGATTAAAAATCTATAATTTTGATGAGTAAAAATTCTTAAAAACAATAGAAAGGAATATTAATTTCAACTCATTTGTTTCTGTAAATTTTGCAAGTAAAACATATTTTTTAGTTGTTCAATAATACATTCTTTAGAGAAAAAACAGCGGTAGCGGTTGAACGAGCAATTGAGACGTATAGCTTAAACTGTAAAAAGTCTAAGCTATAAGTCTCAATCGCTCATTCAACCGCAACCGCTGTTTTATTTCTCCAAAGAATATATTATTGTTTATTTTTGCTATTGATGTTTTAAGCTTTTATTCTTGATAGTTGGGATTTCTTTATATTTGCTAGTGATGATTTCTTTATTTTAATTTTTTCTTTTATTTTTTACATTTTGATATTTAAGATTTCTTTATTTTGTTCAAGTGACGATCCTCCAGTGTGGGGAGCACTTCCACTCTCACACGACTTTTATGCAGCATTTATGGCCATTGGAGGAAACTCAGCGGATCTCAGGTAGCAGAGCTGAACCTTGACGGACACCAAACTAGAATAAACAGAACCTTGACAGACACCAAACTAGAATAAACAGAACCTTGACGGACACCAAACTAGAATTAACAGAACCTTGACGGACACCAAACTAGAATAAACAGAACCTTGACGGACACCAAACTAGAATAAACAGAACCTTGACGGACACCAAACTAGAATAAACAGAATCTTGACGGACACCAAGCTAGAATAAACAGAATCTTGACGGACACCAAACTAGAATAAACAGAACCTTGACGGACACCAAAGACGGACACCAAACTAGAATAAACAGAACCTCGACGAACACAAAACTAGAATAAACAGAACCTTGACGGACACCAAACTAGAATAAACAGAACCTCGACGGACACCAAACTAGAATAAACAGAACCTTGACGGACACCAAGCTAGAATAAACAGAATCTTGACGGACACCAAACTAGAATAAACAGAACCTTGACGGACACCAAACTAGAATAAACAGAACCGTGACGGACACAAAACTTAAATGAGCAGAACCTTGACGGACACCAAACTAGATTAAACAGAACCTTGACGGACACCAAACAGGACTTATCAGGAGTTTAAGGTCTATTGATGTGTAGGAACACCAAACTAGACCAAAATATTCATTAAGAGACTCCCACCTCTATAAGGTACCGGGCTTGTTGAATGGACAACGACCTTGAGTGACCAAGAACAAGTTACATATTATATGAGAAGAAATTTGAAATTTTGTTATTTGGGCTCCATCTATTTCCCAAAAAAAAACACACACAAATCAAATAAAAACGATATTAGAAAGAAAAACAGAAATAAATTTTAATTATTTTTTTCTAGGTTTCTCAAACAGTTAATCCTGAACTCCTTTCATTACTCCAAAATGGATGAAAAAGAAAAACTGCAGTGTGGAGTAAAGTTTGATAGAAAATGGAACAGAGACATTGAAAAACTTCTCTACTCTCTATACCCTGCTATAACTGTTGTATAAAAATGTGTTAATTTTTAAAGAAAAATTTAGTTTTTTCTTTTACAACGGATAATTTGATGAATAAATATTGAAAATTACATTTTGGCTAAGCTTGGGGTGGGGGGAGGGGGGAGTGAATTGATATATAGCATGATAAGATAGAATCTATTGCATGATTCCTATGTTCAATGTATTTTATATCTATACTTTGACAGAAACAATAACTTTTTGATGTATTATTATTCCTATGAATTAATTTAAAAACATTTATAGTTAATTCCCTTTTAAATTCTTGTAATTGTAATTTGTAATACAAATCTTTACATAATTACATAAATATGGTCTGTTTTTAGATTTGTTTAATTGTAAATTGTTCTTAGACATTTTTCATTTCGTTCGTTGATCGTATGAACGGCATATTACATTCGTTTTGTTTCAATCGTTCATGAATGATCAAGATCGTTCGAACAATTTAAATCATTCGCTTTTAGAAAACTTCATTTTTTCATTTCTCTCTCTAAACGATCAATTTCGTTCGTCAATTGTTTTTTTCTTCTCTTCTGAACGACACCCTTTTTTACTAAAAATTTCGTTCGTTGAAATGTCGATTTTTATTTGTATGTAATGAACGTCAAAACGGCTGAACCGATCGGGTCCAATTTTTGGTCAAGCCACATGTCATAGTTATAAGTTAATGCATTATTATTAAAATTAACCAATTTAAGCCAAAGATCCGTGAACATTTTTTATTATTTCGTATAGAATACATAAATGGCGGCTTACAAAAATTTAACTAAAAATATAGCATAAAGCGTAGTTTATATAATTACATAACTATTTTTAACAGCTATAGTCCACCCCATTAAACTGTGGAATATGATTTTTCATCATGATTTCAAAGCCCAGTGAACAAAAAACGTAAAACTTTTTGCTTTACAGCACAGTTTGTTCAACATTTTTTTATCAATTTAAATGTTGTCAAGAAAGCTACACACAAAAGTGTGATGCGATTTCTGGCAGGATTATAAAAAAACAGATAGTGAGGCATTCAGGAATTGAGCCTTTTTTCACAAACTCAAATGTTCTAATCCTTTTATATTTGAAGTCGATGTCGTATAGACTTTAGATATTTCAAACAATCGATTCTGTTAGATAAAATATACTAATTTGTAAATAGCAAAGGATTACACCACCAGGTTTCAATATATGGCCGTAGGTATTAGAAAATTTAAGTTTGTGGCAAAGTATGAATTTCTTTTTTTACTTTCTTCATCATTTTGGATTTTGTTATTATCAGTTTTTAATTCTGATCAAAAAATAATTATTCAACAATCTGCTTTTTAAGGAAATCAACGCAACTCACGCATTTAAATAAACTAAAAATGTAAGTTTTAGGGTAGCATACTTCCGATTCACATCTGAACTCTAACTTTTATCCATGAGTAACAAGGAAATATATCCTCATATTTTCCTTTATTGCATTTAATGCCTAAATCTGCAAGTGACTTTTGAATGGAACCCACAAAAGAAGATTTTTTAAAAGATTTTTTTATCCGAAAATCAGGGATATCTCATTTATGTTCAATATAGCAAAACAAAGCTAAGGCTGAAGGGTATACCATGGCGAATCAAACATTTAACTCTTTATTTCATGAGTCACTTCAAGGTACATTTGCAGTCTCTATGAGCCCTAAAGAGTATTAGGCATCATTTTCACAGCTAATACAAATATACAGTGCAATAACCAGAAAACAATGGAATAGGAAGATGGCAGTATTTGTGTTGTTACAGGAGAAAAGTTTTACTAGACACTTATTAAATCACTAATTTAGTGAAATGGGTTTGGTAACACTGCAATTGCTGTGCCTCATGCTCATTGGACTTTTAAAAGTTATAACTTGATTCTAAAAGTCGTCTTCTTATTTCATAGATTTCTGGTTATCACTGTATGATTAATATTTGATAAGTGCACATGTTCTGCACCACCTGCTCTTTCCCTCCATTTCCCAATGATAACCTCTATAGATAAGAATAGAACCCTTGTTAAACCTATTGATCCTTAGTGTTGATGACATACCATGAAACCATACACACTTCTTAGTCTATCCAGGCTATCCTAACTGCAAGGTTGGACATCTAGAAACAAAATGCGGGAATGTTTATCTATTCACATTGGACAGGCTGGTGTTCAGATGGGGAATGCCTGCTGGGAGCTCTATTGTCTTGAACATGGTATTCAACCGGATGGAATGATGCCGACTGATGCCAGTATTGGACAGGCCGACGACTCCTTCAATACCTTCTTTGCAGAGACAAATTCAGGAAAACATGTTCCTCGGGCGGTATTTGTAGATCTAGAACCAACGGTGATTGATGAAGTTCGCATGGGGACATACCGTCAGTTGTTTCATCCAGAACAATTGATTACGGGGAAAGAGGATGCCGCCAATAATTATGCGCGAGGTCATTATACTATTGGAAAGGAACAAATTGAGGTTACTGTAGATAGAATCAGAAGAATGGCAGATAACTGTTCAGGTCTTCAGGGATTTTTGGTTTTCCATTCGTTTGGAGGAGGTACAGGCTCTGGATTTGCTTCTTTACTGATGGAGCGCTTGTCTGTAGAGTATGGAAAGAAATCAAAGCTTGGATTTTCCATTTACCCAGCTCCTCAGGTGTCTACAGCTATTGTGGAGCCCTACAATGCTGTTTTGTATACGCACACAACATTGGAGCATTGCGACTGTGCCTTTCTTGTTGATAACCAGGCAATATATGATATCTGCCGAACTAAAATGGACATTTCAAGGCCTACTTATACCAACCTGAATCGTCTGATTGCTCAAATCTTATCCTCAATTACCGCATCTTTACGGTTTGATGGTGCTTTAAATGTTGATCTCAATGAGTTTCAGACCAATCTTGTACCCTACCCAAGAATTCACTATCCAATGGCAACATATGCTCCTGTTATATCATCAGACAAGGCCTTTCATGAAAAACTAGGCGTTGATGAAATAACCCGGGCTTGTTTTGAACCGGAGAACCAAATGGTCAAGTGTGATCCAAGGAAAGGGAAGTACATGGCGGTTTGTTTATTATACAGAGGAGATGTAGTTCCCAAGGATGTTAATGCTGCCATTGCTGCGATCAAAATATCAAAAACAATTCAGTTTGTAGATTGGTGTCCCACAGGGTTCAAAGTAGGCATTAATTACCAGCCTCCCACAACAGTGCCAGGGGGTGATCTAGCCAAGACCAATCGTGCTGTTTGCTGTCTCTCTAACACCACAGCAATAATGGAAGCCTGGGCCAGACTTGATCATAAGTTTGATCTAATGTATGCCAAGCGGGCATTTGTGCATTGGTATGTCGGAGAAGGAATGGAGGAAGGAGAGTTTGCTGAAGCCCGTGAAGATCTCGCAGCTCTTGAGCTGGATTATCAAGAGGTTGGAACTGAAAACTATAGTGATGAAGAAGGAGATGAATACACTGGACAATACTCTTATACTTAGTTTTTTAATTCTCTGATATATGTTAATCCTTCTTCAAATAAAAATGTAAATGTCCATAACCACCTTCTTGTTTAATTAACATAATAAATAAATAAATTTATGCTTCTATGATCTATTAAACATGCTCCAAATTTTCATAAAATTTTACCCTATTAGCCTAAAAAAATATTGCATAGAATATACAAAATATTAACTTAATTGATGTTCTCTAACTGTTTTAGATGCAGGTTAGACTACATGGGTGTTATACTAATAATTTGTTCTTCTTCAGTTTCAAGAACTTGTCTGATGATCTCATCCTCATCCTCTTCATTATTCTTATATTCATCTCTATCTTCATTTTCTTTAAGAAGGTCTTCAAATGCACGCTCAACTGGTCCACGATCCTAAATTTGATCTTGATTATTGGTTGGTTGGTTTCAATTTTATTTTCAGATTGTTTCAAATAAAATTAAGTTTGAAGTTCAGTTGGTTTCAAGTTTGGGACTAAGAGGGTTTCAAGTTTGGGTTTCGGTTGTTTTCCAGTTAAAGGTTCAGTTGGTTTCAATTTTGGGGTTCAGTTGGTTTCAAGTTTGGGATTTGTTGTTTTCAAAGATAAGCGGTTTTTAAGTTTAAGGTTTAGTTGGTTTTAATTTAGTTTCAAGCTTAGGGTTCAGATGGTTACAAGTTTGGGATTAAGTTTGTTTTAAGATTGGAATTCAGTTGGTTTTAATTTAGGGGTTCCTGGTTTGAATTTTGGGGTTTAGTTGGTTTTAAATCTTGGATTAAGTTGGTTTCAATTTTTTTGATTTCGATGGTTTCAACTTTCAGCTTCAAATAAAATGACGTTTAAAGTTCAATTTGTTGAAAGTTTAAGGTTTCATTAGTTTCAAATTTGGGGTTCAGTTAGTTTCAAGTTTGGGATTTAGTCAATTTTTGCTCTGGGGCTCAGGCGGTTTCAAGTTTGGGGTTGATTTGATTTTAACATAAACTTTTAAGTTTAGTTGATTTCATGTTAAAACTTTGAAATTTTTTAAGTTACCTCAACTTTTGGTTTCGGTATCATCCATAATTTCTCCTGTCTCCTTAACTCCTTCCTTCTCTCCACCTCGCCTTCTCCTGATTCCCCCCCTCCTTCACGTTCTCGGCAGATTGCGCCTACACCCCCCATCTCTCGTATTCCACGTAGAACCTAGTTTTTAATATAAAGACTTGAATAAAGAAACGGAATCTTTGTTCTGATTTTTTATATAATTTGTAGTTTGTAAGTCCTATACTTTTTTTAATGAGCTATAAAGCAATACAGAATTTCCATAATGAAAAAAAAAACAATGATGACGGTCAATATTTTTTTCTGAATATCGATGGGAAATTATGTAAGAGAGAGAAAAAGAAAGAAAGAAAAAAAAAGAAAATTTTTTTTTGAAAATTTTGTTTGGTATGCAATTTTATAATATCAAAAAGATCATAATGAATACAAAAGAAGCGCAAGGGATTAATCTTATTTGACTGTACAAATTCTGAATTGGTTAAATACCATTGATATCTAAACAACTATGGAAGTTATTAATCAAATATTTAGACAGTATCAACTTTAGAGCTTCGCAAAGACGACTTGGGCTTTGGTTTTGGTTTGGATTATCTGAACACTTACCTCGTCCAACTCTCTGCGGAGCTGAGTACGCTTTACTGAGTTCCGGTCAACCTCCGGCGCATCAGGGTCTACTTCCGGTGCACTATTATTAATATTGTTATAGTTTTTTTTATTATCATTATTATTGTTGTTGTTATTATTTTAATAATAATCATTAGAATCATTATCATTAATTACTAACCTATCAGTTTCTTCATCTGTTCCTGATTTAAAGATTCTCAACTTTTCAATCAGCTAAACATATATAATTTTAAAAAATGTTTATGTTACTCTGACCGAATGGAGTTATTCCTGATTTTTATCATTATAGTGAAACATATTGAATGCAATAATATCTCCATTCTTTTATATTTAAACTGTTTTTTTTAATAAAGCAATTTAGCCTTTGCCACAAACTGTATTCTTCTAACCTTGTTCGCCAATTTGATTTGATATTTCAGACTTGGATTATTCAATCTAACAGAATTGATAGTTTAAAATATCTAAGGTCTACAACATTGGGTTGCTAACTTATAACGATTCAAAAAGCTGAGTTTGTGACAAAAACTTAGTTCTTTTGTCAATGATCTTGAATGTCAGCGCCACCTGGCGGTGAAAGAGGTTTTGTGTGTACATTTCCTCGGCACAGTTTGCTTGAAAAATTACCTGATTTCGTTTATAATCATTTTTAACCCAGGGGTTTTCAGAGAAGATTGGTTTCAGGGATTCTAGTTCTTCCTTCGGCACAGAAACAACCTGAAAATCATTTTTTTTAATATTTATTATATTTATTTTCCTTTTTTTAGAACACCAATTATTTTCCTTTTTCAGAATACCATTTATTTGCCCTGTTTCTAATCATAAATATCTTTGCAGTCTGATGGTGTCATTTAAGACTTTGACTATTTGATCCAGCACATTTGGTTTTTTTGTTTGCTTCAGGACTTTTAGGAGCTAACTTTATCAAAACAAAAACAAAGTCCTCAATCTTACGATTATGAAATCAAAAAAAAGTTTTTTTTTAAAAAGTTGGATCCGCGATTTTTGGGATTTCGTAATTTAGAGTGCAATCTATAACAGTAAAATTTACGGAAATGTAATACGCCCCCCCTTCCTTCCTATTACAATTTTATAATGTAATTGTTTACCCTTGTTTCTTGTATCTGTTCAACCTGGGGGAGTTTTATACCAATCCTCGCGATGCTCGCGGTAACATCTCTCCCCTGCAATATTAAGGTTAAATAAAAACTGGATTAGCATTGTTTTACAACAATATATTTTTTTTGGTATGGGTCATGTTTTAGGTAGGGCTGGGCAAAGTTCCGTTAACAGAACGGAGGTTTTCAAAAATTTACGGAAAAATCCGTTAAAAAACGAAAATATCCGTTAATTTTTAAACTGTTACCGAAATTGATTGGCCGTTTGAAAAAAAAACGGTTGAAAATGAAAACGGAACGGATTTTTATTTTGCTTGAAATTGCATTGAACCTTTTAAAAACATTCTGTAACAACATTCTGTAACTGTTAATAATGGTATAGACTGTTAACGACTGTTGAAAATTTTCCGTTAAGGTCGTTAATAAAATTGAGATCGTTAACTAACAGTAATTAAAAAACGGTATATGCTCTTAACGAAAAGAATTTTCCGTTCTTTAAAAAACGGTTATCTGAAATTTTTCTTATTTTACTGTTGGAATTAACTGTTAACGAAACGGCTAAAAAAAGTTAGAACGTGCCCAGCCCTAGTTTTAGGTTGGTAAATAAAGGTGTATAGTGAACAAAATGCAAAAATTATTCTTGTGAAAAAATATCTCAAAACAATTATAAAACACTACAACTTGACCAATAATCATAATGAATAGATTATATTTCATTCAGTGAAACTTCAGCTTCTCTTCTTAGATCGCATATTTTTATTATTTCATTATTTTGACTGTCAAAAAAGAACTATATTTGTAGCCTCATTTTAGTAAAATCCCTACTCCATAAAAGTTTCTCAGACCCGTATCAATCCAGGTATAACCTTCGGTATTCTCTGGTATCTGTTTTACAAGATACAACTCAATCTTGAGCTCAAGGTTGCACTCTCTTGAACTCTTGGTTCTGCAATAATACACTAGGCAATATCAATCCGGATACGACTCTATCTGTATTCTTTAGTACATATTACTCACATAATACTAAATCTCTTTAATACTCAATCTTTATTAATCGAGATAGGAAGCTATGTATTCTTTAGTATGTATTGCTCAGATGCTACTAGCTCTCTGTATTCTTTTGTATCTGCAGTTTTACAAAATACAACTCAATTCTGTCTCGTTCGCTAAACGAGGATATAAAACTCTCACACCGTAACAACAAAAGTGCATTTAGATATTTTTGTTACAGATTAAGTTTAATATACATATTTACAAGATTTGCGAAGATATATATATATATATATATAGGCGTAGTTACTATAATCACAATACATAGTTTGACATATTTACAGACGTAGTGAGGCTAGGTTAATTGCATTGCAAGTTTTGCGTAGTTAATGATAAGCGCATTTAGATTTACAGACAATGTAAATCATATATTGAGTTCAACAAATATTGGGATTGCTACGATATTTGCTACATTTTGTCTTAAATCTTGCTTCGAACCACAATACAAAAGAAGAATAATTTATCCAAATGATAAAAAGTTTCAAAATGAATTCTTTTTTTCGTTTTTAAAAAAGTCATATCTTTACATCCCATCAACGATGTTTTTACAGTCCTTTTTTTTCTTTAAGATTATAATTGAATCCCATCGATCGCAATGGGCTTTAAATTAAAAAATAGTGCTTAAAAACGTCACATTTTCGAAAGAAACATATAAAACCCAATAATAAATGAATAGTTTAAACCTACCCTCCCCCTACCAGGGCCTCTAGTTGGTGCCACGCCCACAGGGAGATATCTAAGCTCTCCAATATGTTCCCGCCCTACTGGCAATGCCCTTAGCTCTCCTATTGTCATCTAAAAAATGGGTAATATGTAAGCGTTATGTGAGCTATTGTAAATTATGTGAGTTATGTGAGCTATGGTTTAACTATGAAAGCTATGTGAGCAATATGAGCCATAAAAGTTACATGACCAATGAAAGCTATGTGAGTTATGAAAGCTACGGGAGCTATGAAAGATATATGGGCTATGGTTTAACGATGAAAGCTATGTAAACAATGAAAGCTATGTGAGTTATGAAAGCTACGGGAGCTATAAAAGATATGTGAGCTATGAAAAATGGGTTATGTAAGTGCATGTTATGTGAGCTATTGTAAACTGTGTAAGCTTTGGGTTAACGTTGAAAGCTATGTGAGCTATGAAAGTTACATGAGCTATGAAAGTTATGTGAGCTATGAAAGCTACAGGAGCTATAAAAGATATGGGAGCTGTGAAAAATGGGTTATGTAAGTGCATGTCATGTGAGCTATTGTAAACTATGTGAGATATAGTTTTACGATGAAAGCTATGTTAACAATGAAAGCTATATTAAAAATGAAAGCTATGAAAGCTATGTGAGCTATGAAAGCTATGTGAACTATGAAAGCTGTGTGAGCTATGTGAGCTGGCTATGTAAGATTTCTGAGTGATAGGAGCTATGATGGCTATTTAATGTGTAAGTCATGTAAGCTATGTAAATAATTAATCTATAGTGAGCTATGTGAGCTATGAAAAGGATGTGAGCTAAATGTAAGCTTGTTAACTATATGAGCTATGTGAACTTTGTAAGCTATGTGACTTGTAAGTTGTGTGAGTTATGTAAGGTATATAGCTATGTGAGCTATTTGAGCTAAAAAGCCTTTGCGTGCTATGTGATCTTTGTGAGCAACGTAAACATGTGATGTGACTTATGTGAGCTATTATGCGAGATATGTAAGCTTTGAAAGCTATGTGAGTTATGAAAGCTATGTCAGCTATGTTAACTAGATATCATCTATGTGAACTATGTTATCTATGTGAGCTATGTTATCCATGTAAAGTATGTGAGCTATGTAAACTTTGTGAACTATGTGAATTATGATATCTATTTGAACTATGTTATATATGTCAAATATGTTATCTATGTGAGCTATGTTATCTATGTAAAGTATGTGAGCTATGTAAACTTTGTGAACTATGTGAATTATGATATCTATTTGAACTATGTTATATATGTCAAATATGTTATCTATGTAAACTGTGTTATCTATTTGAACTATGTTATCTATGTGAACTATGTTATCTATTTGAACTATGTTATCTTTGTGAACTATTTTATCTTTGTGAACTATGAACGCTTTGTGATCTTTATAAGCTATATGTGAGCTATTGAATTATTATAGCGATGTAAATTATGTTACCTTTGTAAGCTATGCGAGCTTTTTAATCTATGTGAGGTATTAAAGCTTTGTACGTGATCTATATGAACTATGTGAGCTATGATGGCTATGCAAGCAATGCAAGCTTTGTGATCTATGTTAGCTTTGTTTGTGAGTTATTTTAGAAATTTAAGATATGTGATCTACATTCAATGATAACCAAAAAATTCTGAAATAGGAAGACGACTTTTAGAATTAAGTAGTAACTTTAAAAAGTCCGATGAGCATGATACAAAACTATTGTGCAGTGTAATCAGACCCATTTTACAAAATTAGTAATTTCAGTGTCTAGGAAAACTAATTATTGATAAATGTCGTCTTCATATTTCATATTTTTGTGGTTATCACTGTATGTGAGCCATGATAGCTATTTTTTGACTATGCTAGCTTTGTGAGTTATTATAACAATGTCAGATATGTGAGCCATGATAGCTATGTTTTAGATATGCGAGTTTGTGAGTTATTATAACAATGTCAGACATGTGAGCCATGATAGGTATGTTTTAGCTATGCGAGTTTGTGAGTTATTATAACAATGTCAGGCATGTGAGCCATGAGAGCTATGTTTTAACTATGCGAGCTTTTTGAGTTATTATAACAATGTCAGGCATGTGAGCCATGATAGCTATGTTTTAGCTATGCGAGTTTGTGAGTTATTATAACAATGTCAGACATGTGAGCCATGATAGCTATGTTTTAGCTATGCGAGTTTGTGAGTTATTATAACAATGTCAGGCATGTGAGCCATGATAGCTATGTTTTACCTATGCGAGCTTTTTGAGTTATTATAACAATGCCAGATAGGTGAGCAATGATAGCTATGTTTTAGCTATGCAAGCTTTGTGAGTTACTATGACAATGTCAGATATGTGAGCCATGATAGCTATGTTTTAGCTATGCGAGCTTTGTGAATTATTATAACAATGTCAGGCATGTGAGCCATGATAGCTATGTTTTAACTATGCGAGCTTTATGAGTTATTATAACAATGTCAGACATGTGAGCCATGATAGCTATGTTTTAACTATGCGAGCTTTATGAGTTATTATAACAATGTCAGACATGTGAGCCATGATAGCTATGTTTTAACTATGCGAGCTTTATGAGTTATTATAACAATGTCAGACATGTGAGCCATGATAGCTATGTTTAACTTTGCGAGCTTTATATATGTTATGAGATGTATGAGGGCTTTGCAAGCTATGCAATCTTTGTTAGCTATCTGAGCTATGATCAAAATGTAATGTATGTTACCTATGTGAGCTATAAAAGCTATGTTAGTTCTGTGAACCATGTTAGCCATGTGAACTATGTGTAAGTATGTTAACTATGTGAGCTATGTGAAATAAGATGGCCATGTGAGCTATGAAAGCTATGTGAGCCATGGAAGCTATGTGAGCTATGTGAGCTATGGAAGCTATGTGAGATACAAGCTATGTGACTGTTAGCCATGTTATCAACATTTGGTGTGAGCTATAAAAGCTATCTGAGCTATTTGAGCTGTGATATTAACATAAGCTATATAAACTATACTTTGCGGATGGTTTTCATTATTAGTTGTAACTTGGAACGCGCGCTGATTGAAACTAACCTCATTCAGCGCGCAATATGTTGTATGTGCACAATTCTATACGCTCTAACGCATATCCCCTTCTGTCACCACAACTTGAATGTTGCATAATTTTACCAATAAAAGTACTTAAAGAGATTATTAACGTAATTATCAGTGACTCATAAATACCAAAACTGAGTGACTCATTTCAATTTTTGTATTATATCAGTTGTCGAAAATTAAAAAATCAATAATTTTCTTTTTGTCATTGCTATGATTAATAGTTGCAATTTCAAATAAAGAAAATTTCCAAGATTTATTAAGCTTAACAACACATAAAAATTAAATCTTTCATCTTTTCCATCACATTTCTTTTATTAAAGAGCTACGGAGGAGGTCGAAAAATGTCTTGAATTTCGAATATGTAACCAAATAGTAAGCTTTTCTCGTGTGCGTAAAATCAAAGCTAAATTAGCTACGATGTTACAAAGTCGTACGCATAAGTTTGACCGTCTCTTTCTCTTTCATTTTCCGCCCCATAGAACGTTTAAGTTTAAGGAGGCAAGGTTCTCTAAAAATACTATTTGTACAACATATGATATATCATTCTTTAATATAGAACAATAATACTTCTAACAAGGCCTGCTAAAACAATATGCTTGTCCTTGTTAAAATATCCTTGAATTAGATTCGGAAAAATTGATCTCAAAACATTATTGTAGACTAGTTTGGAAACCCAGCTTTGCCCACCCCGGACTAACCATTCGGTTTCTTCTATTTAAAATCAAACGTGTTTTGGTCTATAATTCAACACCCTTAAGGATTTGTTTCATTTATTCTTTTTCATTCAAAATGCATATGGCGACCAAAAAGTATTTACGAAAAAAGGCAAAAAATTATGTTTAATGGGACAAATTGTGGTCGAAAGTCACAGCTTTCTGGAATATTGACAGAATTGTAAAATCCACGTGTGCTTAGAAACAAAAATTTCTTTAAAATATTAATTTTAAACCAAGCTATAAGAACATTTTCCTGGTTCTATAAACAAGTTCCTCAGACAACATTTTGGACAAATCAGTCAAGTTATAATCGGATATAACGAATATGTTGAATGTTAGGTAAAAGAAAGCGTTTATTTACATTCATATATAAATACGTTTATAACTGAAGGACTTTTCACGACGTGTTTTGAAAAATCATTAACTTGTACAGTACATTAAATTAACTTGTATAGTCAATTTCCGGAATTCAAGTTTTATTTAATTAAAATAATAACCTGAAAACTCTGGAATATTAAGACGACTTTTGAACTCAAAATATGACTTTAATGGGAGTGACCGGCTATACTACAAGGTAGGACACTTAAGTACATTGCTTTTAAAGTTTTATTTATAACCTTGAATTCTAGTGGAAATGAAGCTGATGTTGTACTGTATCTTGTTCTACTAGCTGACTGTACATGTACATTCTTCATGTACTCTTCATCATACCCTGTACATGTACAGTTCACGTGCATTTTCTCAACAATCTCAGTTTCGGGTTTCATACTTTTTTCAGGACTATTCAGCGTTCTTTTACTCAGCTGGAAACCTTTCTTATAGAGTAGAATAGAATTGGATTGCTCTTGAAATCTTCTAAAATAAAAGAAACTTATAAAATGAACTCAATTCTTACCACAAACTCTAATTTTCCAATCCCTATATCCTTGCAGGTTGATGGTAAAAACTTTTGTTATGTTAGATTTAACATAAAAGTTTTACAGTGTCCTCTGTAAATCTGTGGAAAAGGAAGACGACTTTTTACGATTTTTAAACAAAAGCTTGTTAAACTGGCATTTTCAATTTCCATATTTTTATGGATACCTCTTAGATTGAAATATTTAAGGTTGCAAGCTACAGGTTGTTCAGATATAAGAATTAGAATATTAGAGTTTGTGACAAGTAATCAGTTTAGTTTTCATCCCAATGTGATTTAAAGGTATCAATAGTAATTTAGAAAATTACTTCTATAAAAACCAAAACTGGCCACAAGTGTTTTATAGTGCTAAAATGTTCAACTAAAGTTGATCTAAATATACAGGACATTCGCTTGGGGCGAATATGTTTCCATTCGACTCTTCTGATCAGATGCTTTATGCTAGCAAACTAGTCCTAGGGGAACCGATCGATGGCCGACTATCTGCTTTCTCTGGCGCCAAGATAAAATGCCGTTTTTATTTATTTCTCCAGCATCGATCTCACCCTAGCTGCCCCCTAAAAGGGGTCGACTTGCTATCTCTAGATAAGAAAGGGGGTTCAATACCATTTCCACCCTACACTGTTATGTATTTAAGGCTGCAAACATACCCGGAGTTCAATATCCTTTTGGACTGGATCTGGATTGTTTGGCTTTATTCTTGATTGTATTTATTATGTGCATCATTTCTCCGACTGGGAGCAATGAACTATCTGATTGGGTACATAGGGATGAACCCTTGGTTGGGTTTACAATATGTAATCATGATTAAAATTATATGGACAAAATTTTATATAATTAGTACAATGGTCGGCTTTATACCAATACAATGAAGATGATTTTTCCAGTTTTGATTTCTAACAAGCTTTTTTCAAAGTTTATAAGTAAACCAAAAACTATCTACATTTCCATTTTTTATCATTAATGTTGTTTGAAAGCTTAGTGAAAATAGAAATTTAAATCTTAAGTCGTCTTCACTGAATTGATATTTACAATGAGGACTTTATAATTTATAATTATTCTGTTTTTTAACTTTTTAACAACCTGAGATGTCGTCTTTTGCCACAGCAAAATCTGTTGAGAGGACAGTCCGGGGCAATTGCGCACGTGATAATTATTAATCCAATTCCTGAAACCATTTACAGGGTTACCCACTTCAGAGACGACTGTACGGAATGTTTACTGTCTGTTTCCTTATATTCATGATTCCCTGCAACTTTGAACTTCCTTCTTTTTTAATTTATAAGTCATTTATAGATCACATTCAAGGCAGAAGACTTAATTTAACCTAGAAATCTCGTCTTGTTTGAAGTATTCAGGTTGTCTAAACACTTACAGTCTTATTCTTTGTGAAAAAAACCCACGTATCTACTTATTTTATCAATTTTATGATATGGAAATGTGTGAAATAAAAAAAAAACAGATTTTTAATTATTCAGAAAAAAGCAAAGGCGCGAACCACCCCAAATATGGTGCACCTAATAGAAGAACTCCACCGATGTTTACAGAATAGATTGCCAGGTTGAAGTTATCAGGAATAATACTCCACAGTCTAAATATTACAGGGACAGAACAATCTTCAACTACAGGGTGTCCCACGAAACATAACAGTTGATAAATAGTTTTAAATGTCTTCTTCTATTTACTGCAATCGATTCAGATATTAAAAAAAAAATCTTTTACTCAATTATAATTTACTTTGAAATCAATTTTATTATGATTGCAATATAATATTTGACATTATTCTCATTTGATATTAAACAAAGACATTTTAAACTATTTACCAACTGTCATGTTTCGTAAGTGAATTGAGTTTTTTCTACAAACTCTGACTTTCTAATCCCTAAATCTTTGCAACCCGATGTATTTGACCTTTGATATCTCAAACTATAAAAAATGTTAGATAAAATATAAGTTTAAAATATTAAAGGCGTACAGCGTACAGTGTACAGTGTACACCTTTGTACACTGCAGTAAGTAACAAACACTTGCCTGCATAATTTTCTTATTTATTTTCTTATAGCAAGTTTAATTTATATCATGTTATCCTGATAACATCGCAAGAAAGTTTTGTGTTAAATCCATATTAACAATCTTGTAAACTATAATAACCTTGATACATAAATAAATATCTAGATTTAAAAAAAAAGTTTAATTTATGTTATTTCCATATTATGGAAAATGTAGTTATGGCAAAGATCTAATGTTTAATGAAACTGAGCCAAAAAATCACCTTTTTCTCAATGCTATGAGATCAGGGTTGTTTATATGATCAAAATTGAAATCTAATCCTCTCTCATAGTCTCTGGTTTATAGCATTGATTGGAAATTTAAGTTGTTATTTCTTTTTGCTTTTCAAAAAATCATTTCACAATGGAAGCCTGACATTCATATTTTGTTCACCCCCCCCCCCCATCCTATTGGAAAATTAGAAAAGGTTAAGTCATTTTTGTACTTTTTAAGTGGAATTTAAAAAAATTTAAACTGATATTTTGTTACTTATATAGTACTGAAATGTGCGATTCAAAACAGAACAAAGGAATTGAGTCTTTGCCACCAACCCTAAAATTTGCAAACCCTTATATTTTTGGAACCCGATGGTGTAAATCTCTAAGATTAGAAAATCAAATTTTTTTGACAAAGACTCACTACTCAATTCCTTCAAAGACTCACTACTCAGTTCCTTCAAAGAGTCCTAAAAGCAAGGTGAACATCTTTGTGACATTAAAGCATATAAAATATTTTCTAGCGAACGAAATAAAGAATTAGTAAAAACATTAGTAAACACTCTGGCTTTGCTGTAGTTTTATATAAATAAGAGTAATTTTGAAGTAATTTGGATGAAAAGCAAGTTTTGAAAAATTCTTATTTTTACAAATGTTATTTAATCAATCCCTCGTCAGTTTCTCAGAAATCATTTTTCTGAAACAAGTTTTTTTACAGGAGGTTGTCAGAGACATTTTACAAGATGGCCTGGAAACATATTTTACAAAATGGTCTGGAAACAAATTTTACAAGATATTCTGGAAACATATTTTAAAAGATGGTCTGGAAACATATTTTGCAAGATGGCCTGGAAACATATTTTACAAGATGGTCTGGAAACATATTTTACAAGATGGCCTGGAAACATATTTTACAAAATGGCCTGGAAACATATTTTACAAGATGGTCTGGAAAAATATTTTACAAGATGGCCTAGAAACATATTTTACAAGATGGCCTGGAAACATGCAAATTAATTGATGAATTTTATCAACGTGAAATATTTCCCAGCGGCCTTTTCTCAAGAAAAACTTCCCAAGTGACCATTTCCCAATTAAAAACTTATTAATTGAAAACTTAACAGCTATGTGCAATTTCCCAAGCGGCAATTCTTTCCAAAGTACATTGTAGGTTAGGAAAGGTCTGCGGCTATGACTGGGATGGGCATGAAATATTTATTATTTCATAAAATTTCCTATTGATTAAAAGTACTGCCTTTGAAATATCTTGTTTTTGGCATACCCCGTCTATAGTTTCTAGTTTCTTAATGTCTATGAAAGGTCTTGTCTATGAAAGTTCTTGTCTATGAAAGGTCTTGTCTATGAAATGTCTAGTCTATGAAATGTCTTGTCTATGAAAGGTCTTGTCTGTGAAAGGTCTTGTCTATGAAATATCTTTTATAAAATCTTTTTTATAAAATAGCTTCTATGAAATATTCATTTTATGAAATGTGCTGTCTTTGTAATGTTCTTTTAATGAAATGTCCTATAGTTATGGAATGAAATGTTCATTGTAAAATTTCTTTTCTTATAGATGTCTTAACATCGTAAATGTTAAAAGTAATAATGTGAAATTTGAAGAAAAAATTATTTAGCTACAGGGTGTCCCACGAAACATGACAGTTGGTGAATAGTTTTGAATGTCTTCTGCCATATTCTGTATTAGATATTAAAGATTTTTTGCAGTTTATTTAGTTTAGAAAAACTTTACTGAAATATATTTTACTTAGAAATCAATTTTACTATAATATGGATGCCATAAAATATTGATTATTATTCTCTTTGGCAACAAAGAACGTGAAATATTGTGAAAAAAGACATTTTAAACTATTCACCAACTGTCATGTTTCGTGGGACACCCTATATGAAGAATATAATCAATCAATTCCTTATTTTTGGGAATCGTCTCTAATCCCTTCTCTTGTCTTTCCTTCTTTGTTTGCTATTGATATTCATCGACCATGTCAATTTTATTTTGTTCTTGTTTTTCAGAAAACCAAAAAGGACCAAAAGTAAGTAATTAATTTATTATTATTTGAGTTTAATTAATAAAAGCCAAATGTATACTGTAATTATGATCTTAGCTGAAATACACACAAGACGACATTTATAAATGCATTTGTTTAAATATTTTGCATTTTTTTCCTTGAACGACCCAAAGGTTAAATTAAGTCTTCTGCCTTAAATAAAGCTTTTTAACCAGCTATTATATGATTTAGCAAAGAAATATACAAATTTACAGTTTCAGGGTATCATGAGTATAATAAACTAGACAGTTTGAATTCCGTACAGCCGTCTCTGAAGTCTCATCCGTTGTTTGTAACCCTGCATCTCTGTTCATTTTTAGATTACAAATAATCTATCTATCTATCTATCTAGATCCCATTTCCAAATCTTTAAAATCAAATCAAACCCACGACCAACTCCGCCAAAATATCTTAAAGGGACTGGAAGCGAAATTTCAAGTGACCCTTCATGCAAAGATTGCAGGTCCCGATTCACAACGGTACCTTTAAAAGCTTTGTCTGACCAAGTATTAGTAAGATATCAATATTTATAATTTTGAGAACGGATTAGCTTTGATTGTGGTTTCTCTACAAAAGCTAATGTTTACTGCAAGGAAACATAAATGAATTTAAAATTCGGTGATGGTGATGGACCAAACCTCTGTAGATTAAAAAGGTAGATGTAAGTTAAAATATATTTCGGTCTGGGTTGACCCTCGTCAGTTCTAACGATATAATAACCATCAAAATCGATAAAAAAAAATAAAAAAAGCGACAATATCTTCCTCATTTTTGATCAGATAAAGATTTCAAGGGTATCGTTATGTTTGCAGGGTTACTTGATTTCGCTAACAGTCCCTTTAACCGGACCTAACATATTTCCGGATTTAAAACGTTTAAAATGGAGTGTTCGCGAAAAATGAAAGGGGAATAGGCTTACAACGAAAAATAAGCGCTTTCGATTGCTACTAATCTTACTTCTATCTGTTGCGTCTATCAGGAGAAAATTGTGAAAAACGACTCATACCGAAAAACGTAGCGTTCATACAAATTCAGAAAGTTGCAACATTCAACTCGGATTGTAAAAATAATAATTTAATTCCAAACAAGCCATTCAGATATTACAACCAATAATCATCGATAATTTTTCGACGAATATGTATATAGTTGATATTTCATAGTATTATTATTTTTATTTTTTATGATCTGATAGTTACTTTTGAAACCATTTATTCCTGTTTCGAGGAGTTTTGATAATGAAGACGACATTTTCATATTGGAATGTTCGAAAATCCAGCGCCAGCAAAATATTATTTTAAAAAATCAAAGATCAGTAGCAATCAAAAGTGCTTATTTTTTGCCGTAAGTCTATACCCCCTTTCATTTTTCGCGAACACTCCCTTTCAGATTGGACTCGGAAACCCCTTGAAGGTTGGGCAAATCTTGGGTCGAAAAATATGTTTCTCTATGGGTTGGATCGTAGGGTACCAATTGTAGCTTACAATATACATAACTAATGTCGATTTTGTTAGACATTTTCAAGTTGCGATTTATTTGCGATTTTCTCGTCTAGCAAGCCTGATATAAGTTACCAACCATTAAAAAATGTTTATTTTATTCATTTAAGTTTAAATATTATAATAATGTTTACACCTTACATACATTTCTATTCTTGGTGAATTTTATTATTAATTTTGAAATTAATTCAGTCTTTGCCACAAACTCTGATTTTCTAATCCCTTTATCTATAAACCCAATGTAAGCCTTAGATATTTCAAACTATTAGTTCTGTTCGATCAAATCATCTTTATTTGAAATATCAGGTTGCAAAGATATAGGAATGAGAAAATTTGAGTTTTTGGCAAAGACTTATTTTTATGTTGAAGAATTAGATTGTCCGTATTCTGGTTTCCTTGTAATTCAATCAGACGACCCTGTACCATCAGACTCTCTCCTATATAAGCAGTATTTAAAGTATGCTGGGATAAGATTTTTAACTGATTGAATTCTCAAAACGTGCTTTGGCGTTTTAAATCCAAGCAGTTTCACAATACGTAATCTTAGTTAAAAGAAAACATTATGACCAGCATATTCCGATGTTCTCTGGTCACTTCTTTATGAAATAATAGGAGAACAGAAGTCCCCGGCTTTGTCCGTGGAATTTTAAAAAGTTTCGAATTTGAAAGAAAGAAAAAAATTTGAAGGAAAAATAATATTTTTTAGCCTTTGTTAACCTCAGGGTACCCATGGGTTCTCTCAAAAAACGTTCAGCCCATTCGGTTCAGCCGTTTGGCCGGCTGTAGCTGACAAATATAGAAGAGCGAAGAGCATTTTATTAAAAAAAGTACTCTAAAATTAAGAAATCCCACGCCTTTGGATTGGGTTTTTGAATTAAAAAGTTATATTGAAAAGACACCATTTCCAGCTTTTCAATAATATTTTTTCCAATTTAGTTTTTTTGGTTTATTTAATTTTCAAGTAGTGTGGTAAAAATATTTACTTTTTATCTTTTTTTTAAGGAAATTATTGAGAATTGCTCAGATGGACTTTGATTTGCATTGTTGTCTTGTATTTATTAATTAGAATAATTTTTTAATTGAATTTATCCAATTGATTCATCGACAGGAAGTAATTCAGAACACATATTGGCAAAAACCTTATTTAAAAAATCTTGGGATTTATTATATTTTAAAAAAATGAGAAGAGACCGAAAATGTATTTGAGCTACGTCGCTGAACTACTGTTTAAAATTTTAATTACAGATTCAAAGTTTTTGAAAAGTTGTCATCAATGCCAAATTTCTAGATATCGGAACAGTTCCTTTAAGATTACCTTAGGGTATGGATTACACACGGATTTCCTTTTCTGATACTTGGCAAGGATCGATTTCACCTGAAATATTCAAATCATTCAAAAAAGGAATTGAGTTTTTTCCACAAACTCTGATTTTCTTATCCTTAGATCTTTACAAACCCATGGCAAAGTTATTGGATTAGATAGTTTGAGTTTGTGGCAAAGACTCAAAGCCTTTCAAGGAATTTAATTGAATTATGATTAATGATAAATGACAAATTATTAATGATGATAAACATTATTTAAAGGAACATGAACACTAATAGGATACTCCCTATATTTTCTTAACCCAGAATATTATATATGAAAAATAATATTTTTGTATTATCTTTAATTCAAACTATCAACACTGTCCTAAACATTTTTTGTTATCATTATCATAATACTTGACACTATCTTGGGAACCCAGATTTGTATAGAATTTTCCAAAGAAGTCGACCGGCCCTTTCAACTAAGAATTTTAAAACCTAAGAGATTCCCATGGTTTTCTCGATTCCTTAATCAAAATCTTTAGGCAACTTGGTCAAGGAGTTCATGAGTTATGATCGGACATCCAAACAGACAAACAAAGATTACTACTTTATGTATATATGTATAGATAATTAATTCTTATAAATATGCTTTTTCTTTATTCCATCCTTTTAAAATTATTTTACCTTTATTTTATTACTTTATCCTACAATATAAAATTTATCCAGAAAATACTGGTCCCGAGAAATGCCCTACCCCCCCCCCCCTCCTCTATTTCCTTCTTGGGAACCAAAATAGCATTTAATAAATTTTTGGAAACCTTCAGTTCTTTTTAATAATAAATTGCGAATTTGCAAAAAAATCAAAGATGTATTGCGAAATCAACCTATTTATCAAAAATGTGGGTACACAAGATTGCGCAACACAAATTAAACACTGTTAAAAAGCCCTTGGCAAAACGCGTTTAAATAGGCAAAAATAGTTGTCTAGTTTTTTAACCTACATTTTATTAAACCATGCAAGGGTTCTTCGGGTGTGACTAAAATAACATTATTTTCAAAGGGTTTTTAAAACTCTGGCAACGACGGGTAATCAACTAGCTACAGTGAAACCCTTAATAACGAATATATCGAAAGAATTCATCAAATGTCGTATTCTTCACTTTCTGATAATGGAATGTTGCAGATATTTAGTCTTTTAATTAAATGATTATATGGAATTCTTTAAAGCTGTTCCCGCATATTCATGGCTATTTATTTATTTTTGCTAATACTGAAATTTACGTAATATAGTATTATAAAACTCATTGAAAAATTGTCAAGACGACATTTAATAATTCTTGCGATGTATTCGTTATTAAGGGTTTCACTGTTTTTTGTCATAAAATTATAGAAATGAAACATTAATGTTTGATTTTTCAAGAATCTTTGAACAACAATTTAGTTTATGTGCAACAATAATTTTATTTATTGACAAAACAATTTCTGTATTTGGTTGAGTGCAACCTGCAGCTTTCTTTTCAGAAAGTATAAGAATAATGATAGAATATATCTAGGTCAAACTGAAGTCTGAATTCCTAGTGTTATATTTTGCAAATCCCTGTTACATACATATTTGATAATTTAGTTTTTTGGTACCCTATCACGATTGGGGAGGGGGGGGGGGTGGCTCAGGCAAATCGAGTTTATTCCATAAACCTCTTATTTGTGTCAAATAATGTTTGACCGCTTAATCATTTTTTAAGAGGCCTCTAGGTTGCTTAAATATTATGTTTCAGTTAAGAATTTTGACCGAAAACCTGCTATTTCATTAAAAACTCTTAAAATAGGATTTTTCAAAACATCCTTTGTCACTTACATGTACAAAACGCTACTCTGACTAAATCAAGGTTTTGGCGTGCTGCTGACGCCCCTAAATCTTTTCTATATGGATGTTAGAATCTATTTATATATTTAGATTATCCCAAACCACTGCTTTTGCTATAAAATATAAGTTTATTTTCCGAAAAAGCTTGCTTTAACAAAGACGACATCTAAATATATTACGGGTTTAAAGGATCAATTCAAGGAAAAATATATGAACGGGAATAGTAATTATAATTGAAATCATTATAAATCAATGCCTACAATTCATACACTGTTTGTAAATGAAAAGATTTTCAGAATATATTCATTTTGTCCATTTTCACCATGAAACACAATACAAATGCATTTAAAGAGGAGTATTGTACTGGGCTATATTTAGCTTGGTGACGTCATAGCAATCAAAACTTTTCGCAGATTTCGTGCTAAATTAGCCTAGTTTACTTAATTGTTATTGTAAGGACGTAATTTATGGTGGAATTAGTTTCTGTATAATTTATCTGATTTAGCTTAAACTTTTCTTATGTACCTCAGAGGTCACACTAGGGGAACTCAAGAAAATGAAAAGATGAAATAATTTCGTGAATTTTTGCTTTTTGAATCTATCATTAAAGAAATAATTATGTTCAATTAAAAATAAAATATTTTTTAATTTTATTTTTTGGTTAAATAATCATTGCCGTAATATTATCATATCATTAATATTATGATATTACACGCTAAGAATGGAATTTTTGGAAATCTCAATTTTACTTTTGGGAATTAGAAACTTAGGGAGGGAGGATGGGGGGGGGGGGTTAAAGTCCAAAAGATCGTTGAGATCGTTGCTTGCCTAAGTTTGGCATGTTTTAAAGAACATGAATTATCCTACCCCTGAGCTAGTGGATATATTAGATATCTTCCTGCTGTCAACATTCAGCCGGATAGTTTCAGCTTGTAACTCCTGAATAAGAAACAATAGTTGTAAATTTATAAGGCACATTTTTTTGTTATTTGTAACGATTATAATAAAGCTCTGATAGCTGATACCCTTGGGCCTGTAATAAAGGCTAAAATTAATTCGAACCTTTTTCATTTTTTCAATTTTTCTTTTTTTCAAAAGTATTTTGTTGTAACCAATGATTAAAAAAATATTTTGAACACAGTTTTATCAGTATGAGAATTACAAACTACAAAACCATTTTTGACGTACTACTATTCAATTTCAAAGTAATTATGTTTGCTTTTTCAAAAATCTACAACGTATATAGATATTAGAAAATCAGAGTTTGTGGCAAGAGCTCAGTTCGTTAATAAAATTTCAGACTAGGCAACAAAAAAGATTGGTTGCAAAGTCGAAACTTGAATTACCTGCCAGAGTGAGATTTCCCCTTCTCTCTCATCTCCATACTCACTCATGCCATCCTCACTCCCAACCTTAGTAATATAGATCTCAACTGAAGACACCTTTTTTATTTGACCCTTAGCTTTGTTTACAATAACGAAAACATTTTGCGGATTTCATAATATTTTTGGTGAATTTGAAAAATTTTACGAAAATCAAAATTTGTAGAAACAAATTTTTTGTAATTCTGAGCATCCATAAACCTTCCGTGGGGTCATGTGCGTTTTATGTCCGATCGGTTCATCCGGCCGTTTTGACGCTAATTGGATACAAACGGACAAACAGACAGACAAGCAAAGTGCATCAAGTCAATCCACTCAACTTAAAATTGCTGAACTGCAACCTAAGAACAATCCCATGGTTCAACTGAGTTCCTGTATAAAATTTGATGCAAATCGGTCAAGGGGTTCATGCTTTCTGATCGAATATACAAAAAAAACAGACTAACAGAAAATACTACTTTATATGTGAATTGATAGTTAAAATTACTTCTAGTTGTTTAAGCTTTTATTTTGCTTTTTGAAAACAAGCACACTGAGACTTTTATACCAAGAAAACTCTAAAATTATTATGTAAGCATTTCATGTGATATGGTTAAGCCACGTCAATGAATAGGAATGGCAAGTACGTCGTTTCTCAAGTTTAATAATTTATTTGTTATTAAATATTATATTATTTTCTCTCATAATTTATCATTTGTGATTATTATCTTTTTCAATTTTTTTTGTTACCTCCCAATCATTGTTTAAATCCAGCTCCAGAATATCCTTCATTATTGACTTTAATTCATCCTGCTCCATACCAAACCTATTATAGAAACCTTTTATAGATATATGATAATAAGTAATAATAATAGTAATAATAGTAGTAATAATAGTAATAATAATAGTAGTAATAATAGTAATAATAATAGTAGTAATAATAATAGTAATAATAGTAGTAATAATAATAATAATAATAATAATAACTAACCAACCTGCCAGAAATCTCGGAAACATCACTTGCAATCGAAATTGCGGAAATCTTCCGAACAAAGTCCACGGAAAGTTTACGAGATATTTTTCTACCCGACATTTTATACCAGATCTATTTTTTCTAAAAAAGAAAGTAAAATTTTTCTAAATTTTTTGATGAAAAATTAACCCATGACACAATTTGTTCCGTAAAAATTGTCTCAAACTTTAATGCTCTAATTAGTTTTTATATTGCAACCTGATGTTTCAAACCTTTGATATTTCAACGATGAATTTTGTCAGTTATAATAGTCAAGTTTGAAATATCAAAGGTATATTTATCACTTTTAGCATTAGAGTGTGAGGCCAATGTTCTGTCCTTTGCACAGATACAAACATGTCGCCACTTTACTAGAAAGGGAGGGAAAGCCCTTGAAAAATGCATGTAGAAACATGTGTGACACTATGATATTTGTTTAAACAAAGAAAAATATTTTTTTCATTTTTTTAACCCTTTTTTAGGCATTTTTTCAACCCTCCCTAGCACCCAAACTATATAAGTTATCGGTATAATTTTTTTTCTATGAGATGGCCTTGAAAAATTGGGCAATGGACATACATTTCAACCTATACCTATATTCTCTTAAGGTCTTTTCTAGGGGGGGGCGCCGAACGCCCCCCTAGAATATACATAGAATCAGACCCCCCAGCTTTATAGGGTTAAAGCAAAAATTGTTTGATAATCTGTCTCTCCCAACCCCCTCTCCTTCCCACACTGTTTGCTGTTCAGCCATGTGTAAATGTTTATGTTAAAAATCATCCTTTGTCCTTTAGCGTAGAGAGTATAGACCCTCGTCGAACTGAAATAATTAAAACAAAACATAAAAACTCCCGTCATGGGAGAAATAACGGTTTGGCAGAATTTTAAAACACAAATTTTACGCTGAGTTATTTTTTAACTGATAACCTTCCATTTAACTAAAAAAGAGTGGCACATATGTATGATTCACAGGGATATGTTTAAAACGTATTTCTAAGTAAAAATATCCTTTCTTTTTAATCCTAATATATTTAATATATATAATATATTCATATATATATTTAATATTTTATCATATAAAGAGTTGAATTCTGACAATTTTCTTTTTTGTCTCATAATTACGCATGTCATCGTTGAAAAACAATATTTCTTTAATCCGAGATGAAAAAGAGATTAATGACACTGGTTGTGAATCAAATGTATGCAACTGTATATATCGTAAACAATCTTAAAACATAATAGAGTTAAGTATCTTATTTAGTTATTTATGTAGTGCTTGAATTAAGCGCTGAAGTACTATTCAGACATTAATACCTCATAAACAGATTATGACGACATATTAAACTATAAGATTTAGACTCTAGGGGCTAACGGTTTAAAATTAAAATATTGTGGAAGACGATGCCTGGCCGCGTTAAACTAGTTTCACAAGATTCAACAGAATGAGATAGAACAGATACGGGGCATAGTACTGATAAATCATCTACAGTCTACACGTGCGATATCGATATTGACTCTAGTTCTGAACCCTCTAGTAATAAGTTATAAGAAATATATATACTGGAAGTTATTTGTGCGTTTTTTATTAGAGTCTGACATTATAACATCATATATTAAAACATTTTTTCTTTATATTAAGGATTGGAATTTTGTTTTATGATTAAAAAAGTGGTTGCTAAAAAACTAAACCAAGAAAGTTATGACACATTAACATAATTGATGTTACACTTTACGCTGATTTAACTTTAGGTCCTTGTGTCCCAGCGAGATCTGTGACTTTTAAACACAAATAATAAATTCAAATTTAAGAAGTGAACACATCTCGCCTTGCTTAGTCTACGAAGACGACATATCACATATTTTTATATTATTGGGGGAAAAACTGTGCTGTATATAAAAATGAACAAGTATTGAAATTGCTTTTTTTACTTTTTTAAATAAGTTGCACTTTTAGCTTTTATGAAATTGTGCCACCTGTTAAAAATGTTTAAAAATTTTTTTCTTAAATTGTATTGATTAAACAAAATTATTATTTATGTTTAAAATGACAAACCTTAAAATTATCAACAAAACAAAATTAATAGGGAAATTTTTGAATTTTTAAAGCAACCCAAATATAAATTGACAACATTTTTAATAGGATTTTGAATAAAAAACACTCTGTATAGATCAACGATTTCTTTTTTATAACTAAATGTGTTAAGAAATATTTCCAGTGTACGTGTGTTATTTACCATGGATCTATAAATACTAAACATTTTATTTTGTTCTTTACGCTACTGCGCTGCAGGGATGAATATAAAAAACAATATTTAAAAGTTTTTATTTTATAAATTATTCATAGGTTGGTTTTTTTGGTAAACTTTTAACAAATTTTATTACCCCTTCCCCCCTCCCCTGCACTGACCCAATTCCCCCTCATTTATTATTCATTAGACCTACGGTTAGTAATGCTCGTAAACCTTGAAAACAAAGAATTTTCTTTCGAGGATTTCCCCGGGTAATAATTCCAAGATTTACTGGAGAATATATTCACCCCTGTTGTTGTAAACTACACAAAGCAGTCATGCAATGCCCTATTGATAAATAGATAGATTGTAAAACATTTCACTGAAATTGATTTATTGAAAGTTTGAAAAGATAAAAATGAAATACTTAATACGATTTTATTTTATTTCTGGTTTCATCAATTTTAAATGAGTCACACGGTACACTGATTTTACTCCCCCACGCGCAAAACTAGCCACAACGAAATACAGGGTGTCCCAAAAAACATGGGAATTCAGTGACGAATTCAATATGGTCTTTGTTATCAATTAGCATTGTAAGACCTAATTTCAAAAGCCATAATATCATTATGTCTGCTAGAGTTTATTTTATGAAAAGGGTAAAAGACTGTAAAGATGTGTCTCTATAATGTCTCCGCAAGATGAACAGTGAAGACGGGCAAGTTTACTCTGTTTTTTTTTGTATACTGCCATTTTCTTGTTTTACTAAGTACAACCGTTTGCATCAAAACATAAACAAACAAAATGTGAACATAGCAGACGAAATTCTTGCAGATTACAGTGGGTAGGTTAGGGGGCACAAGGAACAATCTTAGAAAGCAAAGTTGTAATATAATGTCGTCTGCATTTGAACAATATTTCATTGTTTTTTAGGTTTCATACTATAAGGACTCAAATAATTGTTCTTTTCAGAATAGGATAAATTTAGTTCAACTGCTAGTGCCGTTAACAATTTAATAAACCGTTAACGCCGTTAATACTATAAAAGACAGTTAACGGCTGCACCGTTAAAAAAAATGTTCAACGCTTTGCACGGTTTCTATAACAGTTCATAATGTATTATGACTGTTAACGACTGGAGCCATTAACGATTGTTGAAAATTTTCCATTACCGTTGTTAACGATAATTAGAAAAACGGTAAATGCCATCAACGAAACGAACGTTCTGTTCTTACCTTTAAAATTAACAGCTACCTGAAATTTTTCTATTTTAACGATTGAAACTAACTGTTAACGAAAGGGCTAAAAAAAGTTGGAATTCATGCCCTGCCCAAGGTGAAAGCCTTTAATATTTCAAAATCAGGCTTTTTAATCTAACAGAATCCACAGTTTTAAATATCGGGTTGCCGAGATATAAGAATTAGACAATCTGAGTTTGTTGCAAGAAATCATGTTTCTTTACATCCATTCTATTTTATATCCATGGGTAGGATAGATAGATACATAAACAGATATTAGATAGATAGATAGATAGATACATAGACAGTTATAAGATAGATAGATAGAAAGATAGTTATATTGAAAGACGTAATTCAACTGAGTTTGATCTATTACATTATATACTTTAGATAGTATTTGAAGAGAAGTTGAATATAACCCTGGAGCTCTGAGTCTATACTCTAAACTTTCAATTCATTTCCGGTAAATTCATCGATATGAAATAGATAGAGTAGTATTTTGTATAATTCATCGTAATGAAATGGATAGAGTAGTAATTCTTGTATAATTCATCATTATGAAATAAATAGAGCAGTAGTTGTATAATTTATAGAAATTAAATGGATAGAGCTGTACTAATCGTATCATTCATCGATATGAAATAGATAGAGCTGTATTAATTGTATCATTCATCGATATGATATAGATAGAGCATTAATTCGTGCATAGTATAGTTTACTGTATTACATGTGAGCAGTGTAAACAAAAAATATATAGGACAGACAGCAAGATCTTTAGATGAAAGAGTGAGAGAACATATTGGTTTCATTAGAAATCTCCATAGAAACCAGTCTGCAGGAGAACATTTTAACCTTCCTGGACATGAACTCTACCATTAAAAAGTTAGCGTACTAGAGAAGGTTTGGGACCACGGAAGAAGTTCACTTCAAATACGAGAATCTAAATACATTAGAGATTTTATGACTGAAATCAGAGGAATGGACAGAAAAAAATAGCTTTTATTTAATTGTAAACTGTAATTCTGTATTTTATTAAAAAGAGTATTATAAATGTTCAATTCTTTAAAAGGTTTAAATGCCCCTTTATACACACACATATAAACAGTTTTTAATCTTCCCGACAAAAAGTGAATATTTGAAAATTATCTTTTTTCCATCTCATGATCTGAGTTCGTTTACCTTTGTCCATTTGACAACCCAATTCTTTTTTTCAAAAATTTGTTTATTTGTTTGTTTTCTTGTGGTTTTTAACAATTTTTTTTATCGATTTTGATGGTTATTATATATCGTTAGAACTGACAAGGGTCAACCCAGACCGAAATATATTTTCAATATTGTGGAACTAACATCTACTTTTTAAACTCTACAGAGGTTTGGTCCATCACCATCACAGAATTTTAAAACAATCAAATAGAGAGCAGTTTGTCTACTAAATACAAGACTATAGTCTATAGTAACTATAGTTACCCATAAAGATAACTTTTCGTACATTCCTGGTTCCCTGTAGATGTAATTTTTTACTTCTTTTCAAATCATTTCATAAATTCCAGAAATAAACTATATTCACCACAGAAAACCAAATGTATCTTTAAATCCCTGTTATCAAAAAGTTTTGTGTCGTCATAAAGTGTATTTTACCATGATGTTAACTAAACTCTATACCTTGGTAAATCGATGATTAAAGCATATCGGAACTCAATTATCTATACCTTGAAATATCGATGATTAAAACATATGGGTACTCAATTATCTATAACTTGAAATATCGACGGATAAATCACTCTCTACCTTGATATATCGATGATTAAAGGATATGGAAACTCAACTATCTATACCTTGAAATATCGATGATTAAAGCATATGGGAACTCAACTATCTATACCTTGATATATCGACAGATAAACCACTCTATACCATGATATATTGATGATTAAAGCATATGGGAACTCAACTATCTATACCTTAATACATAGACAGATAAACCACTCTATACCATGGTCCATGATATATAGATGATTAAAGCATATGAGGACTCTACTCTGTACCTTAAAATATTGACAGATAAACCACTGTATACCTTGATATATCGATGATTAAAGCAATGGGAACTCAACTATCTATACCTTGAAATATCGACAGATAAACCACTCTATACCTTGATATATCGATGATTAAAGCATATGGGAACTCAACTCTCTATACCTTGAAATATCGACAGATAAATCACTCTATACCTTGACATATCGATGATTAAAGCATATGGGATTTTAACTATCTATACCTTGAAATATCGATGATTAAAGCATATGGGAACTCAACTATCTATACATTAATATATATCGACAGATAAATCACTCTATACCTTGAAAAATCGACAGATAAACCACTCTATATCTTGATATATCGATGATTAAAGCATATGGGAACTCTACTATCTATACCTTGAAATATCGACAGATAAACCACTCTATACCTTGATATATCGATGATTAAAGCATATGGGGACTCTACTCTATAACTTGATATATCGATGATTAAAGCATATGGGATTTTAACTATCTATACTTTGAAATATCGATGATTAAAGCATATGGGATTTTAACTATCTATACTTTGAAATATCGATGATTAAAGCATATGGGAACTCAACTATCTATACCTTTATATATCGACAGATACATCACTCTATACCTTGATATATCGATGATTAAAGCATATGGGAACTCAATTCTATACCTTGATATATCGACAGATAAACCACTCTATACCTTTAAATATCGATAATTAAAGCATATGGGAACTCAACAATTCAACTATTTATACCTTGATAGAGTACACCTTGATATATCGATGATTAAAGCATATGGGAGCTCAACTCTCTATACCTTGAAATATCGACAGATAAACCACTTTATACCTTGATATATCGATGATTAAAGCATTTGGGAACTCAACTCTCTATACCTTGAAATATCGACTGATAAACCACTCAATACCTTGATATATCGATGATTAAATCATATGGAAACTCAACTCTCAATACCTTGAAATATTGACAGATAAACCACTCTATACCTTGAAATATCGATCATTAAAGCATATGGGAACTTAACTATCTATACATTGATATATCGACAGATAAACCACTCTATGCCTTGATATATCGATGGATTAAACATATGGGAACTCAACTCTCTATACCTTGAAATATCGACAGATAAACCACTCTATACCTTGATATATCGATGGATTAAACATATGAGAACTAAACTTTACTTCCTGCTGGACCTTATCTATAAAGTTTTGAACATTTTTCCTTTATCTATGATTTCCTATTATTATAACTATGATTTCCTATCATCATACTATGTATAGGAGTAAAGAAATATAGAAGTTTAGAAGTTTAGCAGTATATAAGTGTAGAAGTGTAGAAGTGTAGAAGTAGAGCAGTATAGAAGTGTAGAAGTGTAGATGTATAGCAGTATAGAAGTGTAAAAGTGTAGAAGTATAACAGTATAGAAGTGTAAAAGTATAGCAGTGTAGAAGTGTAGAAGTATAGCAGTATGGAAGTGTAGAAGTGTAGAAGTATAGAAGTATAGAAGTATAGAAGGGTAGAAGTGTAGAAGTATAGAAGTTTAGAAGTGTAGAAATATTGCAGCATAGAAACATAGAAGTATAGAAGTGTAGAAGTGTAGAAATATTGCAGTATAGAAACATAGAAGTATAGAAGTGTAGAAGTGTAGAAATATTGCAGTATAGAAACATAGAAGTATAGAAGTGTAGAAGTGTAGAAATATTGCAGTATAGAAACATAGAAGTATAGAAGTGTAGAAGTGTAGAAATATTGCAGTATAGAAACATAGAAGTATAGAAGTGTAGAAGTGTAGAAATATTGCAGTATAGAAACATAGAAGTATAGAAGTGTAGAAGTGTAGAAATATTGCAGTATAGAAACATAGAAGTATAGAAGTGTAGAAGTGTAGAAATATTGCAGTATAGAAACATAGAAGTATAGAAGTGTAGAAGTGTAGAAATATTGCAGTATAGAAACATAGAAGTATAGAAGTGTAGAAGTGTAGAAATATTGCAGTATAGAAACATAGAAGTATAGAAGTGTAGAAGTGTAGAAATATTGCAGTATAGAAACATANATACTACGTTATCTTTCTAATATGTGGTAAGGGTACTTTGGTGAATCAGGTGTGCACTTCTTTGATTTAATAGTCACTTTAAATTACCTTTAAACCCCCTTTAATGTTACCCAATTTTATACCCCTCATTTACTTTTATTATTTCAATATTTTATCAATATAAACGTGAAGGTTCAAATTTTCATCAATGCATGTTTTCTTTTATATTATTATTGCTTTATGTAACAAGTTTATTGTGCATACGAAAATAATTTTTTATAAACTTTCTTCTTATTAAACAACAATATATTTTTATTTATATTTTTATTTTTTGCTCAAGTCGATTGAAATTCAGTTTCAGAATATGCAAAATGTATTTTATTTCATATTCAAATTTGTTCGAACTCAACACAGCATAGACAGCAAAACTGAACGGGATAAGCTGCATCATTACATTGGGTTTAGACTTTGAAGTGAAAAAAATCTTATAGTGATATCAGATAATAAAAATTAAATAACAAATGTCTCCAGAATTTTAAAAAGAAGAAAGAAAACTGGAAGTTGATTAAAATACTTGAAGTTACATATATCTTTCTAAAACAGTTTTTCGTTTGACGTGAAAAAAGAAACAAGAACAAGATGGCGGCGATTATTGCTCAGATGACGCGGCAAAACAGGAACAGCTGCAATTTGTTTTATCATCATAAAATAAAAGGCGGGAAAATCTTTAAATAAACAGGTTTTTAGTCAAAATATAGTACACCACTTTGAATTTGATTTTATCAAAAGATTATTTACTGCTTTTCATAAAAGATTAATTTCTTTCTTTTGACTGAAACGTCTAAAGCAATATTTTTTTATTATGAAGCATGGTTTTAAAATCTACTTTTAGTCTGATAAATTTGACATTCAGAATCTGGTAAAAGCCATAAAAATCGATGTCTGTCATGTTTAATCCTCATGCAATGATTATCTCAGCAGTACTTTAAACGAGGGAAGGAGGGAGATGAGGACACGAGCCCATCCTATTATGTTCTGAGCCCATCATATTATATTCCGAGCCTGTCGAACGTATTCCTAACTTTAGAACATCTAGGGTTTCTCTTTATAAATATAAGATTTGTATTCTCTCCAACAGGTTTTCAATTATTTAAATATATAATTCACGACTGTTAAAATAGAGAGCGGGCAAAAAAGAAAAGATACGAGTCTGCTAAATGTATGTACGAGCTTCCACCTTTTGATCCTCATTATGATCCAAAAATTCACAACAAGTATATGGCCAGGTATTTTATCAAATTATTTTTTATTTTTAATTTGTTTTTCGCCGGATACTGTTAAGCTAGGAATGTTAATTAATACTTTTTTAGCACGTATGTAAGAAATTGACATAGCATAACAAAGCCAGCAGTAGGTTTTTTTAAATTTTGGTAGTTTCCTGTGACTTCCCGAAAATTTCTTTTCATTAAAGGGAGTGTTCGCGTGAAAAATGATTGGGAGTACAAGCTTACGTCGAAAAATTATCAAAGGTGTTGGCTGCTTATCACTCATACCGATGAAGGTAGCGTGCACACAAATTCAGACAGTTGCATTATTCGACATTGAAACAATTGTAAGCATGCTATGCTAACAGAAATGATAGATTAAATTCAGGAATCAATTCACTGTAAACCCGGTTTTAATTTTAACCCTATTCCTGCTGGGGGGGGGGTCAATTTATATTGAGTATATCTAGTACCAGACCACCATATTGAGTATATCTTGTACCAGACCGCCTATTGAGTATATCTTGTACCAGACCGTGTATTGAGTATATCTTGTACCAGACCGCCTATTGAGTAGTTTTCTGTCTATAAAAAATATATCTAGTACCGGACCGCCTGCTGGGTATATGTTGTACTTGCCAACCTAATGGATATGTATCTTGAACGGACCTGCCATAGTTCTGCCAGCTTAATTAATTCTGTTGCACAAAACGCGCTGGGTCAACCACATACTAGGTACACTAGACCGAACAGTACGACTAAACGCAAAACCAGGCATTTCTTGTTCTGGTTCAGATCATGCAACTTTTAAACTTATGTGGCATGCTTGTTGAGTATATCTTAAGTACAGGCCTTCATATAGTTCTGCCCGGCTAATTCTGTAAAATATCACGTTGTGTTTCTTCTAAAAAATTAATGAATTACAGTGGTTTTACTAAAATAATTTTATTAGGGCTAACGTAAAGACATATTTGACACTATTAAGTGATTTGAGTTTCTATTTCTGGCTTCATTACATATAGGTTAAATTTACTTTTACTACAGGGGCAGATTTGCGTGGTCTGGAACAACTAAACACTACACCAAGCATTGTACTGGTCTGGACCATGCAACTTTTGAGCTTATGTTGGGAACCGGAACTGTACAGTACTGTTGAAACTGCAGCTGTCTTTAATTTAGTTTCACTGCATCTGTCTTTAATTTAGTTCCCCTGCAGCTGTCTTTAATTTAGTTCCACTGCAGCTGTTTTTAATTTAGTTCCACTGCAGCTGTCTTTAATTTAGTTCCACTACAGCTGTCTTTAATTTAGTTCCACTGCAGCTGTCTTTAATTTAGTTCCACTGCAGCTGTCTTTAATTTAGTTCCATTCTAAGAATATACGAACTAGAACAAAAAGGGGTATAAAAAACTGTTTTCAAGTTTAAATCTATTTATTTTAGACGTCAAGCATATATAAAACAAGAGGCAGAAAGGCAACTTTTGGAAGAAATAACTAAAAAATTCGAAGAAGAAAGAAAAAAGAAGCAAGTTCAGGTAACACACATTTCATATACACAATTCTTTCATTGTTAACTATGGTACAATTAAAGTTCCGGACCAACCTTCGGGCAACCTTTGTACAGTTGAACATACAGACTATGGAAGGCAGAACGGCACAGTTCTGGGGATAAATGATCCCCTGCTATTATCTTTTACAATTCAATTCTGAAAATTATATTTTTTCATTTTTAAAGTTTTAAACAAATATTAATTTTATTTATATTATTGTGGGAAGAATGCTATAAGCCGTGTTGCAGAATGGAAATATTGAAAACCGACTCAATTTATTTATTCTTTATCGAAATCCAATGGCTGAGGCGCCCACATTTTAAGCCCACCTTAGAAGTTTAGAACAATTCAATACCACCAACTAAGGCGCTATTGATTTTGTGAGGGGGGGGGGGTGAATAGTTTTATATAATAAACACTAATGATTATAAATTTTCTCCTGCTAAACTATTGTAAAAGCATAATTACGATAGAAATTCATCCCAGTATATGAACAAATAGTTACAATTAATTTTCTCCTCCTTCGTAATAATTTTTTTGGAAAACCTGGCGGATTTTCACGAAAAAAATATATTTAGAAAGAAATCAGCAGCAAGCTAGTTTGATAAAGATTTAAAGAAAACCGTTATCAATCCCTTTAAATCTAATTTTTGGTTGTTTCAAATTTAAAAAATGTACTTTTAAGGTTAAGTTCACGTGGAAAGTGTGTTTAATTGAGTGCGGAATTATAACTCTTCTTCTATCAATAGTTCCTCTCATCGTTCTTTTCATAGGTAATCAGTAATCACAACCATTTTAACAAGATGTTAAACTTATCTAATTTTTAATTAAAATAAATATTTTCAGCTGTTTTTAACTTTTATAAATATCTCATAAATATATTTTAGAATTATTTTGGTCGTATGGAGTGGTAGAATATACTGGACTTCATCGGAGACACTAACAACAGCAACAACTACAACACTAACAACAGCAACAACTACAACAGCAGCAGCAGCAACAACAACAACAACAACAACATCAAAAACATTAACAACATCAACAACAACAACAACAACAACAACTTGAATTCCATAAACAAAATCTAAAATATTAAGAAAGATTGACAATCATTACCGAAGCCCCTTCCCTTCCCCACAACAATATCAAAAACATTAACAACATCAAAAACAACTACAACTTAAAAAAAAACTATAAAAAAAACAACAACAACAACAACAACAATAACAACAGCAACAACAACAACATTAGCAGCAGCAACAACAACAAAAACAAAAACTTGAACTCCATAACAAAATCTAAAACACACAATACAATCATTACCGATGCCCTTCCCCCCCCCCCCTATTTCCTTGCCCTAATTGATTCAACTATAATTGTGATATATATATTATTAGAATTGTAAAAGTATGAGAAATATTAAAGAACAGTTTTCTGTTTTAATGCTTTTAGAATAAAAATTATGAAAAATGTGTATGTTATGATCAGGACACGGAAGGCTCTAAAATCTATAGATAACTCTGGAAGCTAATCATTCAATTTTTAGTGTTGCACCGCCTTGGCCTTCGGCGTGCATATTGAAACCAGTTCTCTCTGGGCGGAGTTTGTAAACAAGAAAGGGTGCATCAGTGTGTGTTTAGTATTCGAGGAGGTTAAAAACATTAAATTTTGATAATTTTAGTAATTCACATTATAGTTTCTTATTGCCAGAATATTTCATTGATTTTTTATGTGAAAGATGGATCCCGGGTCAGGCTTTGACATCCGTCTTGTGTTTAAATTACCGCCCATGGACAGTACACTGAAGTACAAAAGATGCGTACACCTCTGAAATAACTTTCCTTGCATTATAACCTTGAGAATCTCTATGTTATGTCCATACCTACTCTTTAATCTATTGATCAGAAAAATAATGTTAATAAAATCATACTGCAACCGGAACTATTGATTTGTTGTACAATTTAAACTAAAAAAAGAGGAGGTCGCAAAGTTGTAACAGTAATTCCGCATAATTTGACCTTCATCCTTAAATGTTTGCAGTCGAATAAAGTTTTAAAGTATTAAAGGAACTGTAAGCGTAATTTCAAGTAACCCTCCTTGCAAAGAGGTTGAGTTTAAATGCCCGAATTACAACACTAACCTATAAAACTTTTAACTGATCATCAACAGAGAACTCCGTGTGTTTATCTCTAAATTGGTGTTCAAGTCGACAAAAACTGGAGGGCACGCAACCAAACACAGCTGACGTTACATGTTCTATAAATTATTAGTCGCACTTGATTTAAATTCACTTTTTATCCTTTTTTGTTGATTTTTCTGGAATTTCTGTTGCATTAAAGCAAATATAGTTCTAATGCCAGATTAAACACAACGTTATGATTTCTTCTAATACAATGAGAACAAGAAAACTGTGGAACAAGAAGACGACATTGAAGCAATATTTTTTATGTATTTGATGTTGTTAAAATGCAATTATTAGTTTTACTAGTATCTAAGTTATTAAATCACTTATTAAGTTAAGTCATAACTTGAGTCTATATAAGACATCTTCCATTTCCAGAATTTTCTGATTCCTACTGTATAAAGCCTTTCAAATATTAATTAACCAAAATAAATATATTTGTTGCAATGGTAATAGGAGATAATTGAATATATATTTTGCTATCTTTATCTATATCTATACTTTGCTTGTCTGGGTGGGTGGGTGTTTGTTTGTTTGTATCCAATAAACATCAATACATCTGAACCGTTCGGGCCCAAATTTTGTGTGGGACCTCATGTGACCACAGGGAAGGTTTCTAAATGATCAAAATTTCAAAAATTTATGTTTAACATTTTTTTTTGTAAAATTTTTAAAATGCGCGAAAATAATTTTATGAAATCCGCAAGCAATTGTTTTGTTTTTGTTTTACACTGTACAAAGAGAAGCCACAATTAAATTAAAAGTTGAAATAGAAGATGGGCGCGAAGAGCCCTATAAGCCTAGTATATATATATATATATTGTAACGGAGTTCAAAGTGCATATTTTTAACAAAGAATGTCAGATCATGGTTGGAATCAATTATTTCTGTATATGGGAACTCTGCTGGATGTTTACATAAACTAAAACTCCTTCTTTGTAAAATTCACAAACGAATGTAACAGATTCTTTAAGAATTGATATTTGTGCTTTTATGAATAAACTGAGTTTTCTTTTGACATTTTTATAATATTTTTATAGTTCGAGTTTTCCTGGTGTTTTCTGATTAAAAGATTAAAGACACATGGATAAGAGAAAATACTAGATTAGGTATTGTATGTTCACACAATCACAATTTATCTCAGATGTTAAAATACGCAGAATTTAAGTAAAGGAAATGAGTTTTTGCCACACACTCAAATTGTCTAATCCCTATATCTTTACAATCTGATGATGGAAACCTTTGTATTTCAAACTTTGATTATTTGGTCGAACAGAATTCATAGTTTGAAATATTAAGGTCTACGACATTGGGTAGCAAAGATATAGCGATTAGAAATGTAGAGTTTGAGACAAAACCTCAGTTCCTTTCATGTTTGATTGAAATTTTTCATGTGGTCCATCATAATAACCCTCTTGTGGAAAAGCTATAATGAGAATGTTTAGAAATTTAGAACAAAACAAAATAAATTTGCTTCTTTCATATTTGTGCAACGAGGTCAGAAAGTCGTGATTTCATTTTCTTCAAAATAATGTCACGCTAGATCGAAGTCTTTCATGATTTTATTGAAGAGATTTTGAAAAAAACATTAATATTTTTAATTTTCATTCTGCAATATCTATCATACAAAGTCACCAAGATGTGTCAATAAAGTCACATGAATAAGAGCCAGTAGTAATTCCTTAAACGTGTCCGTACAGGATGATAATTCAATATTATCAGAACGAATAATATACAGCAGGAGATGAATAAAATTGTTAACTTTAACACGCACAGAATTATTTCTGCGAAATACTGTAAATTTCTTATTTTATAAACAAAATCCAAATTTCCGACTTCAATAATATGATATAATTTTTAAAAAAAGAATCCGCAAACTCAAAAGTTTATAATGTTATGTACAACGTAATCTAATATATAAAAATGTTATAACTAAATCTACGTAATGTTGCAAACCCAAAACAAACGGAACTAGAAACGTTTTCCAAATACATATTCAATGAAAAATATTTCTTCAGGTTTAAAATACCTAAATGTAAGGTAATAAAAAGTTTAAATGGGTTAAAAAAGGTCAAATGAAAAAAAGCTCTGTGACACATAAACGTGGGCCCGGTCTTTACAGTTGATCCAGAATTTTGAGGACTGTATACAACACAATGCCTTGTTCGCGGAAATTCTCCTTTTTTCTTATTTTTCCTTTTTCTTTCTTCAATTTTTCGAACTATACAATCAGTGGAAAATTTAATTTTCTCTTGGAAAGAAAAATGTTTCTATTTCTTTTTCAATAAAAAGTTTGCAATTTTGACACACACAACAGGAGAAAATATTTATTCTAGTTTCAAGAAATAAAAAAAAATTTAAAAGCTTTTAGTGTAAAAAAAAGCTTATACTGTAGAACTTTAAAAAGGAAAGTTCATTTGTTTTTGATCACAATTCAAAATTAAACTAATTAAACAAAAAGCTCAATTTCTTTGCCGCCTTTTAATACTTTTTTGACGGCATATGTTTTTAAAAGAAATTAAAGATTTTTGAATTTAATACCAAAAATTCGATTGAAGTTGACGACGACTTGTTGTTTCAGATTAAGGAATTTCATTTAGAATTCGGTGATGGTGATGAACCAAACCTCTGTAGAGTAAAAAAATGTAGATTTATTGAAAATATATATTTCGGTCTGGGTTGACCCTCGTCAGTTCTAGAGATTGTTTCTGTCAGGAAGATTAAAATCAAACTCATAGAGGTATTTACCCTTAATTTAAAAAAACAAGAATAAATGAGATAATTCTTTGTTTTCTTTCTGAATTTTTTTCTTTTTGTCATTTTGCGTTTTCTTTAAAAGATACTTGTGGTCGTGGATTTATCCTATGGACGTTTAAAAGGGATATTGTGATAATTGAAAATAACGTTTGTCAAATTCATGCCACTCAGGTCACTTAAGTTCACACCCTTAACGTTTCTCTAGATTTTAACTACATTGGCCAGTTATTTAACATCTAAAAATAAAAATTCTGATTAATAGGTTATATCAAGAGATTAACTATACGTCAAAACGGCTGAACCAACCAGGCCCATGAACATGTTGAAGCCATTTCATAGACCCCATTTCATTTGACGGGAAAAATGTTGACATTAATAATTCTTTTAACTCACCAATTTAGTTATATTGTATTGTTATCTATATATGTATTATTGTAATGTATAATTTCTTAATGAAAATCCGTAGAAGTTTCGATTACAAGAAAGGCAAGAAAATTAATTACTTTTAGCACCTTTCTAATGTGAAGGAAAAGTAAGGAGGGAGGGGGGGGGGGTCTGTGGCTAAAAATAGTTAAACTAGATTTAGCTTGAAATAGAAATATTAGAAGAAGGAGATGGATAACGCGTAGAGAAAGGTTTATTAATAATTAATTTGAAGAAAGAGAAATCTAAAAATAGAATAAAATGAAATAAGTTTCTTGTAACTTTACAATTCGAGAAAGTATATACTATAGAGTACATGTATGGACAATCATATATCTATTTCCTATTTATAGAAAAAAATTTCAAAGCATTAAAAAAACTTACATTAATATATTAGAGTGCTAGGGAGGGTTTAAAAAGAATTAAGTTATGAAACTTGGCATTGAACTTTCCGGAAAACCAAAGGAATTAAATACTTGACACAAACTCTAATTTATTAATCCCTATAAATTAGAAATTTTTTAGTGTGAACCTTAGATATTTGATTTTATTACTTCAATATAAATATATATATATATCGCATGACCCAAGAAATGGTTTTTGCCCGGCCGA